CAGTCTGTTGTTAGCCAAAATGTCATTATGCAGCACATGACTGAAATGTTTTTAATAGGATAATTGTAAGCCTCCCTTTTATTTTTATATTTGTATATCTATTCACATAATATTTTCTTTATATAAATATACATGTAATGTATGTGTGCGTGGATATTGTATATAGACTCTAGCTAGAGATGTACAGACTGGGAAAATATTTCTTGGCCAGCCCAAAGGTGACAGTTACCTAATCTTTCTAGCCTGGTGGAGTTTTGTTCTTGAGGAAGGAAAAGGCAGTTAAACTGGGAACAAAAAGTGCTTGGCGCCTTTCAAAAAGGTAGAAAAACAGGTGTGGTCTGAAAGAAAGGGCATCCAACTGGGAGGTGAGATATCCCATTTCTGCTCTGACACTAGCTGGCCGTGTGGCCTTGAATTAAAGCATTTGCTTCTCTGTAACACAGCAAAAATAACAAGTGCCCCATCAAATTTGCAGGATAGTTGTGATTGAGAAAATCAGTGTTAAAGATCTATAGAATTAGGATATTTGTGCAATAATATCCTATAATAATAATCATAATGCCTTCCCTTTTTTGTAGGAGAATTGTTGCAATATTTAATTCATCTACTCTGTTAAAAACAGGCCACAGACTAGCTGATGGTAAGCAAAATTATAGGAGAGGCCATTGGACTGAGCTCCGGTACTAGAGGTCCCAACAGACCAGACCAAATCAAAATGGAGTCACTCATGCTAGATACCACGTCATCAAATCGAAACTCTAAGGAAGCAGATTGATTCCCAAACAGACCCATTCTTTCTGAAAATGAGAGATTCAAGTCTACCTGAGTCAGCATAATAAGGAAGTCCCCTCTGCTTTAATCCTTACCAAAAAAGCACATGTTAAACCATCAGCATTTTTTCCCCTTTTGTTTTATTTCCTTGTCCCCACCTTACCAAACCCACTTTTTTGCTGTTGCCCAATGGGAGCTTTCATTCTGTTTTGTGGAATAGCAGCTGCCCAATTTATCAGTCAACAATAAAAGCCAATTAGATCTATACATTTTTGTAATGTTGCTTTTTGACACTAACATTTCCTGAGTGCTTATTCTTTCTTGGCTACTGTGTTATGTATTCCATATGTTGCAAAGTTATATAATCCTCAGAATAAGTCACTGAGGACAGGCACCCATTTACAGAAACCGAGGTTCAGAGTGGTTAGGTAACATGCTCTGGTTATATAGGTAGTAAGTGGCAGATAACAGATTTGAACCCAAAACACAAGTGTACCCATTATCGATAGCCTAGTATTCTACTGCAGTAAAACTATCTTGCTTTTTCATTTTCTTTCCAGAAAGTCAAACAGAAAATGACCATGTGAATCTTTCGCTTTACAGAGTAGCAGAGTTCAGGGTATGGGTGTCAGAACCTGCATTCCCAAAGCCAGGTTCACCAGTCCTGCATTTGTGGAGCCATCCCCCCTCTTGCTTGGAGTCTGCCAAGCATGTCAGCCTGCTGGCCCCTACAGCCTTTCTCCCAAGCAAATTGCCTGCGAGCCCAGTGCTATTACCGCTGTCAGTGAAGCCAGGCTTTGAGTATGTGATGAAGACACTGAATATAAATCTGCCGTGAATGCCCTACACTGACAAGTTGCAGCTGTGTTTGATAAAGGATGCTCCCAGAACACTGTTAATTTTAAAATATTTTACTAATTTCTCTTCCAAAATGACAAAATGGTCACATGTTCATAGGCTGAATTATTTTCATCTGGAAGATTGCATAACAGGCAAGCACACTCGGGAAGAAAAGAAGTGCGTACTTATTTTCATGGGTACCTCCGTTCAGATTTCCAGAACATTTTTTCCTTCTGATTGATGGTGGATTTGGCAGCAACTTCCAACACTTGAGCTAAAAAAATCTCTGATTTCCTTCTCCTTTAGGCAGTGAATGATCTACAAACACTCACAGAAATCCATTAGAGAAGCTGTATTTTGAAGGAAGAAAAGAGAGATTGCATTAATGTAAACAAAGGCTCTTAATTTATTGACTTTGTAGGTTGTTCACCTGTTAATTCTCTTCAAGGGAAGTGAAGGGGTACTATTGTGTTAAAGGGGAAAACCTTGAGGGTTATTTTGGCAAGTGAGCATTTTTAAGTTTGAGAAGCCCAGAAGAAACCCAGTTGTAGGAAAAAAGAAGGAAAGTTGGACAAGAGCTGGGAACATCTAAACTGGTCTCTAGGGAGTTTTATGGAAAATTTCAAACATATATAAAATTGGGGAAAAAAAATACAGTAAATCCCTATGCATTCATCATACACCATTAACAATTATTAAATCATGGGTGGTTTTGTTTCATCTATTATTCACTCTTCTCCCATGTAGTATTATCTAGAAGCAAACCGCTATACTACGTTATCCATATTTTGGTAAATACTTCTGGAAGATAAGGACTCTTTTTAAAACATAACCTTGATATCATCAAATCTAAAAAATACTATTTTCTTAATACTATCAAGTATGCAGTCAGTATTAATTTTCCAATTTTCTCATAAATGATATAATTTTATTTTCATGGTGGTTTATTTGGATTAGAACACGTGATAGTGTGTGGTAGGTCTCTTTAAAATCTACAGCTTCCCCTTCCATTATTTTTCTCCTTGCAATAATATTTGTTGAAGACACTGAGTCATTTTCCAGCAGGGTTCGTCATAGATTGTATTTTATTGATTGTGTCATTGGGGTGTTTTATATCATGTTCTTCTGCCCTCTGTATTTCCTTTCAATTGGTATCAAAGGCTTGATTTAGATTTAGGTATTTTGTTTTAGCCCCAGCATTCTTCACAGGAGGCACATAGTATCTGAGCCTCTGTTTGCTCATCTATAAAATGGGAATAATCATAGTGCCAACCTTTGTAGGCTAGATGCAAGATTAAAATAGTCAAGAGCTCTGCACAGTGTCTGACACAGAGTAAGGGCTAAAAGACACATTAGTCTCATCATTCTTGTTTAATGAAGAAAATTCTTAAGGCTTTGGAGGTTATAGATCATTATGCCCTGTAAAACAACCCCTCCTGTAAAATGGACTTAATAGTAATGTAAGAAAGAACAGTCTTTTTTTATGGATTGGCAAGTGGTTTTGCTGTAGAAGTTAATGCCACACTGCCTAGGGGTGGAGGGGGCCTGAAACCCCCCTGGGAGGGCAGGCTTCTGCAGAGGACAGAGGGGGGGGACATTACTTCTGAGCTCTGTGTGCCCTCATTGCATGTGGCCTTCGCTGTTGCCATAGAACATGACATGATGGGAAGGTGTGTTTGACAACTCAGTGAACTGTGAAGCTAGTTAACTGCTCATCAGTGGAAGCTCAGCCCTGATCTGCCCTTCCAGCCTTGGGCCGAAGGGAGATATTAGTGTAGGGGCAGCGTGACCTCCTGACCTCTGCAGCTGTTTCACCCCCTTGCAGCCCCTGGACCAAATTCTCATGTCCAAGGTCCTTTTCTTTCCTGACATCCACATAAATAGCACGGTCCTTTTAGGTCCATCCATGTAAATAGAAAGGCAAACTCACTGACATTCACAACAGAAATTCCAGCCCTCACACCTCCCTGGGATTGGGGCTGGGGAGGAAGGGGTTCTTGGATCAGTACTGTGGCCCTTCTCTTTGTGTCCTCCTTATTTGTGTGTATTTAAGGGTTGGCTTTATTATTATTAATCTTTTTATAAAACTCAGTTTTAGGTTTTTTTTGTTCCCCTCTACTGTTTGTGTTTTGTTTTGCTTGTTTTGGTGGTTTTTTCTTCGTTATTTCTGCTTCTGTAATTATTCATACTTCTACTCTCGTTTCTCTGGGTTGATTTTCGTTCTTAAGATTTCTGAATGGAACATTAAGTTCATTTAGTTCCACTTTTCTTATTTTCTACTAAATGCATTTGAGACATTTATTCATGTTCTCTACCTTTCAGTCCTTAATATTTTATCGTTTCTCTTTGAATTCCTTTTTAGCTGTGAATAACCTTAAATGTATTTTATAAATTTTCAAAGGCATGCGACTTTTTTTTGCTATCCTTTGCATTACTGATTTCTAATTTCATTGCATTGTAATCAACGAATGTGACTTCTAGGCCGTCATTTTTTGGAGGAAACTTATGGGAACCTGATTTATAGCCTAAATCATAATTAGTTTTCAATCAGTGTTTCATGTATGTGTGGGGAAAAAAATAAGCATTCTGTTTGCTGGATGCTGAGTTCTTAAAATAGCTGGGATTAGCTATTAGCCATTAGCAATTAGCTGGAATTGGGCAACTGTGCTGTTCAGATCCTCATCAGCTTCACTGCCAAAGTTACCATCAAAGCAGCTGTACTCTGCCAGGGTCTAGACACAAAAACGTCCATTTAGGGTTGACTTGTTTGGCTTACAAAACAGGCCCAGGCCAAAGATGGCTCTTCCATCTTTGCAAACAGGTTGGTTTGGAGGAATTGAGTTCTTTTAGTCCCAGCTCATTTATTAGCCTGAAATCCTAGGCTCTGGTTTCCAGTTGATTATTGTGGATAATTGTGTTCTGCAATAATTTCAGAATGAACCTCATAAATATCTCTCTGATGAACAAAAGGTGAGGGGGCTAACTGTGACTCGTGTCCTAGCTTCCGTCATTCCTTGAGGCCCTTTGCCCTTGGTTGTGTGGTTGTGTGGGCGGCACTCAACTTCTCTGAGCCTTGTTTTTTCATCAGGTATGTAGATAGAGTACCACCTGCCATGGTGACCACAGAAGGTTGTGGTGAGGGTCAGCCAAGGTCGTAGACAAAGAAGTACCTTGTTAGCTGAAAAAAGATCCTCAAATATAAAAAAAAAAAAAAAAGGTACAGGTAGAGTGCACCTGTGCCATGTCAAGAAGTGGCAAGGGAAGTGGGTTCAGTGTGTCTTAATCTATTTTATTCTCCAAAAGGAGCCTGAACATGGTGAGGTTGAGAGAACTGTTTGGAGGCCCCTGAAATTCTCCATTTGTCCTTCTCTTCCTTTCCTACGGTGCAGAACACAGAAACTGCAGCCATGACCACGCACGTCACCTTGGAAGATGCCCTGTCCAACGTGGACCTGCTCGAGGAGCTGCCCCTCCCCGACCAGCAGCCATGCATCGAGCCTCCGCCCTCCTCCATCATGTACCAGGTAACAAATAGCAGATGGCTCCAGGGGGCCCAGGAGCTCTGGGGATCCCCTGAGAAGGTTTGCCCTGAGGCAGAGGGAAGAGGAGATCTGCATCTACAAGGTGAAGGGTCACGAGCTGATAGAGTCCTCTGTGCACTCTTGTAGCTGCGATTAAGGAATGGATGAGCTAGCAAGTGTACACCAGGACTATTTCCCTCCCCCGGGGAAGTCTTGTAGATCTGCTCTGACCCCAAATACCTTCCTGGCTGTTCTTGCTGCTGCACCAACCAAGGTTTTGGCAGCTCTGACCTCATGAATTAAATATGGCAATTTAAAAACCCCTAGAGCCTGCCTGGGTAATTACTTTTTCTTCATGTTTGTGAAAAGAGTTCTACAACTCCCCATAACAGCTAATGGCTCAGGGAAGCTGGTCACAGTTGTTTGCTTTTGCCTAAGAGAGTAGAGCTCGTGATAAACCACTATCAGATTGTTCAAAACCATGATCCATCTGGGCGTGGGGGCTGGGGGTGTCCATGCAGCTGGAGCTAGCCTTGCAAATAGTCCCTTGTCTGGTTGTGGCAGGCCAGATGCCAAATTAAGAAAGGATACGTTAATTTGAAATTTTTTAGCTGTGTTTGACCTTTTGAAAGTTCTTGGACTGCTAAAGGAGAATAAATATAAATGTATAATATATTTTTAATTGCATTAAGTGGCACACATCTTAACTTTTAGTAGGTATTTGGGCCTGTGAAGTTTAAGTATTTATGTCCAAAGTTCAGCTGAGTGAACCTGATTACTGGTGGGAAGCAGACGCAGGCCCTGTCATCAGCTTGCTCCTGCCCAGCGTGATTAAGAGTGGGATTTTGGGGAGAAGGGGCAAGAGGAAAGGTGATACAGCAATAGGTCTCCACAGACAGCTTGTGTTAGTTGGCAGCAGTTTGTTCCTTGGATGCTCAGCCACCTTGTGGACCTGTTTTCCAATAACCAAATGTTCCTGTCCTCTAATCCCACAGGCTAACTTTGATACGAACTTCGAGGACAGGAATGCATTTGTCACGGGCATCGCAAGGTACATTGAGCAGGCCACGGTGCACTCGAGCATGGTAAGTCTCTGTGACTCACGTGTGCAGACATGTTGCCTGCTGGGGTGGGAGGGGCCGTGGGCCACGTCTCATTCCAGGGGCGTTTGCCCAGCCACTCCAAGACCCCCTGCTTCAGTCAGACCCATCTGCTTAAGCCCATTCTCACATTCTGCCCCATCCCCCTCTCTCAGTGCCCAGGGATGTCTTGTCCCCATTTATCTTCCAGCTTTGCAAAACCTTCTCGCTGTTAGGGCCCGACTTGCTCCCTCTACTCACTTCCCTGAGCTCCTATAGCTTTTTGAGTTAACATGCGATAAGATCCTGCCTTGCCTTAATACTTTATAGATTAATGAGTATGTGGAATTCTGTCTCTTGACAAAGCAAAAGGTTTCTCAGAAAAGGGACACTAGCTTTGGCTTTGGAATAACAGAGTTATTGACTCGAGGAAGCTGATGGCTTATATATCATTTGCTAGTGGGGCCAGTCATTATTTTCTTTCTTAGGATCTGCCCCATCTGGAGGGGGCAGGGCATCATCCACGTCCCTCTTGGGATTTCAGTGATTTTATTCTCAGGCAATGCTAAAGTTTGAAGAATTTCGAATTCCTCGTTCATTGGGCTCTGCCTGTGGCTCAATAAACCTTTCTAATTATGTGTCTTAGTTCATTTTTATGCTGCTATAACAGAATACCACAGACTGGGTAATTTATAATGAAGAGACACTTACTGGCTCATGATTATGCAGGCTGGAAAGTTCAAGGTTGGGGGGCCGGTACCTGGCGAGGGCCTTCTTGCTGTGTTACAACATTGCAGAAGGTATCACGTGGGCGAGATGCCGTCCAAACTCATCCTTTATGAGGAATCCCCTCCCATGATAACAGCATCAGTCCATGCATGGGGGCAGAGCCCTCGTGACCTCATCACCTCTTAAAAGTCAAATACGGGCCAGTTCTGATTCTCAGTGGGTCAAGTTGGAAATTGACAAGCTTACCATTTATTGAACGCTTTTTCTGTGTGGATATTTTAGAAGCATTGTCTCATTCCCTGCTCACATCAACCCTGTGAGGTAGGTTCTATTATAACATCCGTTTTGCAGATGGGGAAAACTGGATCCCAGGAAAGTTAAGCAACTAACTCGGGGTCCTGGTGCTGATGGGGGACATATCTAGACCCAGGTCTGTCTGACGACAAAACCTGTGCGCTAGACTATGCTTTGCAGACATTTGTTAATGCACAAAGTTAAGGGTAAAACGTCATGGTAAAAGTTCAGAGGTCTGTGTTTTTTTGAAAGGGCCTTGAGAGGGTCGGAGAGAGGTTGATGAAGAAAGTGGCTTTTGAGTGGAACCTTATAAGAGGGTAATTATACCTTATAGGTGTGCAAGGTCTGTCCGCTAAGTATCCAGCCATTGTTGTTAGTAATGTAACGAGAACGGTGTACGTGGGATCAGTGCGTCCGAGGAGAGCGGACTGGGGTGGGGATGCGTGAACCATTACAACTTCACGGCACTGGTCAGTGGGGCGCTGGACGCCATTGAGTGGGCATGTGCAACTGTGTGGCCGTTGCATTCAAAAATGACTGAGCAAGCAGAGCAGCGAATCTGCATCACATTTTGCATTAGGGTCGAACATTCTTCCATGGAAAATATTCAGCTGACTCAGAGGCTTTCCGGATGATGCAATGAGTGCAGCCCAAATGAAAGTGTGGCAGAAATGCTTCCAAGGTGGTCGAGAATCTGTTGACAGCGATCCACGTTCTGGAGGGCCTGCAACAAGCAGAACCCGGGAGAATGTTGGATGATGACATCAACGAAGGTCCCAAGGTGCCTAGTTTGAAGAGGACTGAGGTGTCATCGTCCTATGTATGGTGTTTGTTGTATCTTCTTGGATAAATGTCTCCATTTTTCTTAGTACCTGGCTGGATGCTTCCCAGACAGACCTTGTATCATATCACACTTAAAAATGTGAGGTATTCTCATACATGATGTTATTGGAGCCTCGTAACAGCCCTGTGACTTGCAAAGGGATCATCATACCCATTTAAGGGATGAGAAAACTGAGGTCTAGAGAAGTTCATAAGCAGATTGTTCATGATTCCACAACTAGTAAGTCACGGATTGGCCCTGAAATCCAGGGCTGCCCCCCAGTCCTGATCTCTCCCGCTGTACTCTTCTGTCTTACACGGTTATTAATAGAACTTTGAGTCAGAGCTGAGAATGCAGCTAGTGGGCATAGCAGGGGGAAGAACCAGCACGAGCAAAGGCACAGAGGCGAGAATTTTCAGGGACTGACTGGGTTTGGACATGTAGGGAAATGGTTTGTAGTATTTTGTTTGTTTGTTTGTTTGAGACAGAGTCTCACTCTGTTGCCCAGGATAGAGTGAGTGCTGTGGCATCAGCCTAGCTCACAGCAACCTCAAACTCCTGGGCTTAAGTGATCCTCCTGCCTCAGCCTCCTGAGTAACTGGGACTACAGGCATGCACCACCATGCTCGGCTGATTTTTTTCTATATATATTAGTTGGCCAATTAATTTCTTTCTATTTATAGTAGAGACAGGGTCTCGCTCTTGCTCAGGCTGGTTTCGAACTCCTGACCTTGAGCAATCTGCCCGCCTTGGCCTCCCAGAGTGCAAGGATTACAGGCGTGAGCCACCGCGCCCGGCCGGTTTATAGCATTTTGATGGAAAGTTAGATATAACGGTCAGTGCATAGGTTGCTCGAGCTACCATCACAAAGCGATGCCACAGACTGGGTGACAAACAGCAGACATTTATTTTCTCACAGTTCTGGAGGTTAGAAGTCCAAGATCAAGGTATCCATACATCTATACTAGTTTCTCCTGAGGCCTCTGTCCTTGGCTTGCAGGTGGCCGCTTCCCACTGTGTCCTCACCTGTTCTTTGCTGTATGTGTACACATCCCTGGAATCTCTGTGTGTGTCCGAATTGTTCCTCTCTTTCAAAGGACACCAGTCAGATTGGATGAGGGCCCATTCTAATGACCTCATTTTAACTTAATTACCTCTTAAAGACCCTGTCTGCAAATACAGTCACATCCTGAGGGTACTGAAGGTCACAGCTTCAACATGGGAATTTGGGGGCTACACAATTCAGCCCATCGCAGAAGCCTTTGATTTAGTTAATAAAAAACCAAAACAATGGCAAATCTTCATCCCTAGGAGAGATGTGAACAGAACCCTGCTTAGGGGATAGATTTTATATGTCAGTGTGTGTAGGTAGAATGAATTGTTAGGTAGGAGTGAATGGAGCAAATAAGTTAGTGCACATAAAATTGTCTACAGGAGAGGCATTAAAGTCAGAAGGAAGGGGTTGGCCCTGGGGGTGGCTACGAGGATGTGGTGTGAGAGCCCTGCAGGTGAGCTCCACCTGGCTCAGTGATCAGCTGTGACCATGGTGACCGACTTCTCCCAGACATACCAGGTCGGGGGACACCAACAGGGAAGTCAGAAGGAGAGGCTGGTCTGGAGGGTGACAGTATTTAATTCTATTGCTGCTCTAACAGATGCAGGTTATCACAAACTCGGTGGCTTAAAACAACACAAAATTGATTTGCTTACATTTCTTTAGGTCGTAGATCCAACATAAGTCTTATTTTGTTCAATAAAATCAAGGTGCCAGCAGGGCTGCATTCCTTTCTGGAAGCTCTAGAGGAGAATCTGTTTCCTTGCTTTTTCCAGCTTTTTTTCTAGAGACTTCGCCCTGCCCTTTGCTTGCACCGTCACATCTCCTTCCCTGACTCTCCTGCCTGCCCTTTCCACTTATAAGGACCCTTGTGATTACATCAGATTCACCAGGATAATCCAAGATAACCTCCCCCTGTCTCAAGGCTCTTAATTTAATCACATCTGCAAAGTCCCCTTTTCCACATGCGGTAATATTGAGGTACTGGGGATTAGGGTGCAGACAACTTTGGGGGTCACTCTTCTAGCTACACAGGGATACTGTTGATCTGGTTTAGACGTGAGTCATAGGTAAGGTGTCCTGTTCACATTCCTGGATAACACCGAAATCTCACTTGAGTCAACAGTTTCCACTTAGCACCTTGCCTGATCTCTCTAGAGTAGCTCATTAGCAACAACAGGTGGCTTCCTTAGGTGCCCATCTTCTTGTATTTCTCCTGCCCACACTTGGGCAAGGTGGCTCTGTCTCAAAGGTCAGGACAGCCAGAGAAAAGAGGAGGAGAAAGGGCATAAACTGCACAATTGACTAAGGATATGGAGGAGTTGAGGGTTCTTTGCTGGGGGTGGGAATGGGGGCTGAGTGAGTGCCGAGAGATACAATCTGTCGCTACAGCCTTGAAATTTGAACCTGACTCAGATTCTGTTTAAGTCATGGACTCATAGAACACTAAAAATATAAAGGACATTAGAGATCCTTAGTCCTGCAGCTGTCAACCTGGGCTGCAAATGGAATCCCCTGTGGATCGTTGAAAAATAACCAGTTCCTGGACCCCCACCCCCAGGGATAAATATTTAGTCAGTCTGGGGTATGGCCTAGGCATCATGAGTCTTCAGAGTTTCCCAGGGGACTCTAATGTGCAGCCAGAGGTGAAGAACCAATGATTTAGGCCAAATCTTTACCTTCAAATAAGGAAACTGTGACATTTACGAGTTAAAAGATGGGCCCAAGAAGAGCCAGGACCAGAGCTCAAGTCTCCCAAGGCCCTGCCCAGGGCTCTTTCCACTGTACCCCCCTGACCTCTGCATTCCAGGCGTAACTGTGCCGCACCTCTGGCTGACGGCCAGCCAGACCTTCTGCAGGGCGGAGTCCATGTCCTTCTTGTTCCCAGCACACAGCAGAGCCTGGGACCCCTAAATGCTTATACAGCGTTTGATGAGTTGGCGTTGCACCTACTGGCGGGCATTTAGTTTGGCACTAAACGTAAACACTTGTTTCTTACGTTCCTGTTACTTCCCCCTTTTGACACGTGTTCTGAGACTGCAGGAGACCCACACGCTTGACGTTGGTGCTCTCTGGGCTCAAGGACAACGTGTTACTGATTTAACAAGTTCTCTAAATTAAGAAGTGAAAGTGTGACTTGTCAGTGACATTTGCCAATGCAAACAGAACTGTTACAAGTAAATTAAGTCTGGTCTTGTCCTAATAAGATATTATGAAATAGGTATGTGGCTTTAAAAGTAAATCAATAAGGGTTTGCTTCTGCATAGACGCAAGCATTTACAGAGGGAGATGACCCTGTAATATTATTTTTATTGTATTTTTCAGCGTTTACTGTCTAGAACATAAAACCATTTAAAGTATACAGTTCTCTTAGGTATACATCTAGGAATGGATTTGGTGAGTCAAATGGTAACTCAGTGATTAATATTTTGTGGCACTGCCGAACTGTTTTCCTAAGTCACTTTGCAGATTACCTAGAGAGTGTGCGTGTGTGTGTGTAATCTTTTTAATTCTCATAAAAGTCTGTGAGATTATTATTATCATCATCATTTAGCAGATAACTAAATGGAGAATTTTAGGATAAGTGACTTACAATAGTTTCAAGGGCTAATAATGAACCTGGGATTTGAGCCTGGATATTTGGACTCTGAGTTAAGGGCTCTTTCCACAGTAGCCCTTACTCGCTGGGATGAGTCATCACTGTATGTTTCATGTTGGTTTTGCCATCTGCTCTACTTATTATTTTTTAAAAAATTGATATTAATCATCTTCCTGCTCATGAAATTGTAACACGGGCTTTCATACAAGTGTGAACATTAGTGTCTATAGGATGTAAAAAGTCACAAAATAATCCAGCCCCGGTGTATGTTGCACCAAAATCTTTTTCAATACATAGTACATGTTCATAATTATTCCTAGTTTTTTTGGTTGTTATTTTTTAAGCTATCTACTATATATACTGTTTTGCTGCTTGCTTATTTTCTTGCCAACATTATATCTGGGATACCTTTTGCTGTGGGAAAGCATAGATAAGCCTCATTCTTTCCAAGGTGGCCATCCATCTGTTTGAAAAATGTGGCCTGGTTGTAGTCCTTGGATGTCTGATGAGGATGATTTAGTTGGGTTCTTCTCGAACTTACCGTGCATGTGAGTCATCTGGGCACTTTGTTGAAATGCAGATTCTTATTCCACAGGCCCAGAGAGGGGCCTGAGAGTCTACATTTCTAATAAGGCCCCTGTCCACTCCCCCGAGATGCCCATGCTGCTGGTCCCCGGACCACACTGAGTAGTGAGGGTTCAGGGGGCTGTTGAGAAGCCTAGTGGCTCCAGCGTAGTTTTTCCCTGCTGAGGATGTTTTGCTGTTTCAGAATGAGATGCTGGAGGAAGGACATGAGTATGCGGTCATGCTGTACACCTGGCGCAGCTGCTCCCGGGCCATTCCCCAGGTGAGACTTGCTGTGTGTCTCTTGCCCCTCCAGGGGGCGTTACTACCCCCTACCCCACTCCCAAACCAGAGGGCTGAGCTTTTCCAGGTGGCAAGGTGTGAGGCAGGGCCTCTTATCCAAGGGAGGACACTGAAGACATGCAGAGAACTTCCTGTGACACTTACAAGGACCCATGCCCAGGCACTTAAAAAAATGTGTTCAATATATTAATATTTCAAAAACAGTATATACCAGCTGTATGATACCCAAACCAGACAGCAAGATAACCCTACTTCCTCACCCCCACCACCCAAACCCACGTCTCACCGTAGGGTTATTGCTGGGAACACTTTGGTACATATTCTTCTGGATCTTTCTCCTGGCATGAATATTATTTTGTAAATTATTATTATTTATAGAAGTGTATTGTTTATATTCTGCCAGTTTTTTCCCACTTAATTCTTTCTTCTTTCCTGTTTATTGAGACACAGTCTTGCTGTGTTGTACTGGGTAGAATGTGATGGTGCCATTGTAATTCACTGCAACCTCCAAATGCTCGGCTCAAACAATCCTCCTGCCTCTGCCTCCCAAGTTGCTGGAACTTATAAGCACACACCATGATGCCCAGAGAATTTTTCTGTTTTTAGTAGAGTCGGGGTTCTATTCTTGTTCAGACTGGTCTCAAACTCCTGAACTCAAGCAGTCTTCCTGCTTTGGCCTCCCAGAGTGCTAGGATTACAGGTGTGACCACCACGCCTGGCCACCACTTAATTCTTAACTACTGACTTTTTCCATGTTAACACAGGTATTTTTATTACCACTGTCATCATATAATTAGTGGGTCTCATTGTAACAACAGCAAGCCACAAGTATGTGAAGTAAACAGAAGCTATTCCTCCCCCTTCCTCCTAATTCTAGTCCCTAGCAATAACTATTATTAAGGGTTTGGTTTGCATGCTTCAGATTTTCTATGCCTATATTACATATAAACACACACACACAGTTTTGTTTTGCTTAACAAAAATGTGAACAAATTATACATACTGTTACATGACTTTTTTTCACCTATCGGTTTATGGTAGCTTCTTTTCATGTCAGTTCACGTAGATCTGTCTCATTCCTTTTAACAGCTCATAGTGATATCATATGGTTGTATCATAGTTTGTCCATTTAATCAACTAATGGATATTTAGCATGTTGCTACCATTTTAGGAATTTCTAGACCTAAAGTGTGAAGCATGTCCTTGTGCTTACCTTCACTCACTCTTCAGATTTGGCCTACCTATGGGCAGTCTTCGCATGTGTCTTGAGGGAACATCTGCCGTGTGACTCTGACATGCTCACTGGCTGGAAACCACTGGGCAGGGGCAATGGGTTTCTTGATGGACTCATCTTACATTGGCCAACAGTGGCCAGTGTATGGCTAGGGGAGCTTTGTCCCAGGTGCATCCTGAGCAAGGGACAGAACATGTCTCTGTGTTTAGAATCTGGCCAGGTGCCTCTGGATCAGTGTGGATGTATGTACAGGGCACAGAACAGAGAGAAAGGGAAGAGAGGGGTCTGTTCTCGGGACCAACTGGTTCCTTTTCTGCAGCCAGTCCCTGGACAGTATTTCTGCCCCCTGACAGACTGGTGAGACAAGGGCGACCCCAGCCTCTGCTCACTAGAGTGACCATATCAGTTATCATCCAAAATGAGAATGTAAAAGGCCCTGTTAATAAGATGACAGGTGAGAACAAGGACCGCCTGGACAAGCCAGGTGTATGAACCCCACCCACCTCCTGCTCCCACAGGTCAAATGCAACGAACAGCCCAACCGAGTGGAGATCTACGAGAAGACGGTGGAGGTGCTGGAGCCGGAGGTCACCAAGCTTATGAAGTTCATGTACTTTCAGGTGAGGGGGAGGGACAGATGTACATGAGGAGGCTTGCAAAGTCCCCTGCTCTCTGTTGTCTGGAGTTTAGTGCTGAGTTACGCATTCAGCAAATATTTTTTAAACGTTCCCTACACATCTCTGGGTGAACAAGACAGACAAACCCCACCCACTTTGCGGAATTTACACGTCTTAGTGAGTACGTGGGTGTGTTTTGGGTAGGGAGAGACAATAAACAATACACGGTAATGTTAGGGGTTCGGCGCATAATACATGCTATGAGTAAAATAAAATTTTTAATAATTCTGGGTTATAGAGTATCTGCGTTGTGGGTGTCACTTTAGAGATGGCCTCTCGGGCTGGCATTTGAGCTGAGATCTGTACGATGGGAGAGAGGCTGGCCCATGATGGCCAGGAAGAAAGGGTTCCAGGCAGAAGGTGCTGCAGAGGCAAAGCGCTGAGGCTGGAAGGAGCTTGACCTGTGTAAGAAACACAAGGAAGCCCCGGTGCCCTGGGGGTAGGAGACGGGACTGTCTGGGGGAGGTGCCAATGCCAAGTGCAGCCCTGAATGGGGAGCGCTGCCTCTCGGGGCAGAGAAGCCCGGTTCTGACCCCGGCTCTGCCACTTTCTAACTGTGCATCCTGTGAGTTATTTGCCATCCCTGACACCTTCAGATTTCTCACCTTGGGAACGATGCCTACGTCACAGGTTTATGGCGAGTACAAACGAGGTCTGTTTGTCCAGAGCCGATCAGAGCAGGTTCCACAAATCACAGCTGCTGTTATTGGCATCATGGACCTGCCTTCTCTTTGGGAAGACAGGAGACAAGAGAAAAGAGCCATCCAGACATTGTTTAAGTGCTAAACACACAGCCTCCTGACGAGAGGCATTTATAGATAGGAGGATCTGGGATAATTTAGAGCTCTGCTGTCCGGCGCCGTAGCCATTAGCCACATGTGGCTGTTTGCATTATTAGTTAAAATGAAACCAAATAAAAAATTCAGTTCTTCGGTAGCACGAGGCCCATTTCAAATGCTCAGTGGCCACATGTGATGAGTGGCTATCCTACTGAAGAGTGTGGCTGTGGGACATTTGCATTATCGCAGAGAGTTTCATTGGCTTTTGACTCTGGAAGGAGAAAGAGGGCCTGGCCTGGTCCTTGAAGATCAGCAGTGATTGGCTGTTGGCACTTTAGGCCCCTGGAGCAGAGCAGAGCTGAAATCTGGGTGATCATTTCTCCTCCCTCCTCGCCCCCTCTGTTCCTTCTCTTCCTCCTCCTCTCTCTCTCTCTCTTGCTCCCTCTGCTACTACAGTAGCCTCTTCTTGTTGTGGTTGTTCCACTGCTGTTTAAAATTCTGGATAACCACTTTATTGAGATATAATTCACATACCATATGATTCACCCATTGAAAGTGGACAATTAAACGGTTTTTGATATAGTCACAGAGTTAAGTATCTATCGCTATAATCCATTTTAGAACATCTTCATCACCCCCAAAATAAATCCCTGACCCTTTGGCTATCACCCCATAATACCCCCATTTCCTCCCCTACCCCAGCCCTGGGTAGCCACTAATCTACTTTCTTTCTCCATGGATTTGCATATCTGGACATTTCATATAAATAGAGTCATACAACATGTGGCCTTTTGTGTCTGGCTTTTTTGGTTAGCATGATGTCTTTAACGGTTATCCGTGTTGTAGCATGTGTCAGAACTTCATTCCTTTTTATGACTGTATACTGTTCCATTCTATGGATACACCCCATTTTATTTATGCATTCAACAATTGGTGGACATTTGGGATGTTTCTACTTTGGGGTTATTATGAACACAACTTGAACATTCTTGTACATGTTTTGTGTAGACATGGGTTTTCACCTCTCTTGGGCAGATATCTGGGATGGAATTGCTGGATCATATGGTAACGCCACCTTCAAACACAGTAGCTCTGAACTTTTCTCCTGCTTCCATCTCTATCCCTTACAGTCTGTTCTCACCACAGCAGCCGCTGTGACCCTTTAAAACTATAGTCCCCAGCCTTTTTGGCACCAGGGACCAGTTTCATGGAAGAAAATTTTTCCACGAACCGGAGGGATGGTTTCAGGATGATTCAAACACATTACATTTATTGTGTACTTTATTATTATTACATTGCAATATATAATGAAATAATTATACAACTCATCATAATGCAGAATCCAAAGTGGCCGCTGATGTGACAGGCGGTGGTGCTGAGCAGTGGGGAGTGGCTGTGAATACAGGTGAAACATCGCTAGCCTGCTGCTCACCTCCTGCTCACCTCCTGCTGTGCAGACCAGTTCCTAACAGGCCATAGACCAGTACCGGTCTACCTCCCAGGGGTTGGGGACTGCAGTTTTAAAATAAAATTCAGACCATATTTTCCTGCCCTAGAACTTCCCATGTCTCCCTGGCTCACTCAGTGTCCAGTCCCTCCCAAAGGCCTGCAAGGTGGCCCTGGCCCCCTCTGTCTCTGGTTCCTTCTCTATGCTCACCCTACTTCAGCAACCCAGCTTCCTTCCCATCCCTTAAACACGCCTCAGGGCCTTTGCACTGGCTGTTCAGTTACCCTGTGTCTTTCTCTTTCTCCTCCTCTTTCAAATTCTGTTTCTAAAAGTCACTTCTTGATGATTTCTTCTCTGATTTCCATCTTAGAGGACAGCTCCTCTGGGCCCTTCCCACCCTCCTTCCCTTTGTTATTTTTTTCTCCATAGCCCATGTATCACATTCTGATAGAATTTGTTTTCTGTCTTCTCTTACTACAGTACAGCTCCTTAGGGCAGAATGCACTTATTTATTTGTTTGTTTTTCTGTTCTGTTCCCTGCTCTACTCCAGTCTCTAGGTGGATGCCTGGCACATAGTAGATGCTCATTAAATAGCTATTCGATGAATGAACCTCCTTTTGTTTCTGAATGTCTCTTTTTCTTCTCTGCCGCCTCCTTGTCTGGTCCATGACACTGTCCTCTGTGCTGGGGATACAAGAAATTAACAAGATGTAACTGTTCTTAGCCAGTATGTGTTGAATGAGTTCTTCGGTTTGACTCAGGTGGGGGCAGGTTCCAGTCTCCACTCTAGAAGTCAGCTTTGGATTTAAGGACTGCTCTGAGAAAGACTGCCTGACAGCTTCGCCTTTCTCCAAATGCCTGGCTCTCACAGGCCCCAGGGGAGCCTTGGCCCTGCCCCCACCCGAGAGCCTGGGGAGCCCCCCCACCGGCCCTGGCCTCACTCGCTGCTGCTCTTCCTCCAGCGCAAGGCCATAGAGCGGTTCTGCAGTGAGGTGAAGCGGCTGTGCCACGCCGAGCGCAGGAAGGACTTCGTCTCCGAGGCCTACCTCCTGACCCTGGGCAAGTTCATCAACATGTTCGCCGTCCTGGACGAGCTGAAGAACATGAAGTGCAGCGTCAAGAATGACCACTCTGCCTATAAGAGGTTGGGGCACCCTCCCCGTCTCCCTTCCCCAGACTGGGCCCCTCTTTCCTGGGCAGCCACCAAGTGGAGGAAGAGGATGGAGCCCTTCTACGGGCTCATTCCCTGGTACCACGCTCGCCATTTGCAAGCACAGCAGGGCTGGGCCCGAGTCTGTGCGGTTGGAGGAATAGGATGCAGAGCTGGGTCTTGGGGGAGCTTGGATCTTTGCAGAGGTTTCTGTCTCAAGCTGTAATCAAATCCTTATTTACCCTGTCTGTGCAGCATGCATTATGGGACCAGTGAGATAATGGTAAAAGGGTTAGGTTAGTCACTTTCTGCAAGAATCAGAAAGCCTCACGCCTGTAATCCTAGCACAGTGGGAGGCCAAGGTGGGTGGATCATTTGAGCTCAGGAGTTTGAGACCAGCCTGAGCAAGAGTGAGACCCTGTCTCTACTTAAAAAAAAAAAGAAAAAAAAAATAGAAAGAAATTACCTGGACAACTAAAATAAATAAATATATATATAAAAAATTAGCCAGGCATGGTGGCACATGCCTGTAGTCCCAGCTACTCGGGAGGCTGAGGGAGCAGGATCGCTTGAGCCCAGGAGTTTGAGGTTGCTGTGAGCTAGGCTGACGCCACGGCACTCTAGCCTGGGCAACAGAGTGAGACTCTGTCTCAAAAAAGAAAAAATCAGAGAGCCAGTTCAAACTGCTTATGTAAAAGAAGGGAATGAATTGGTGCTCAGACCTGGAGAGTCCAGGCTTAACCTGCACTGGGTGCTCAGATGGTGGCGTCAGCTTGACTTTCCTCTGTGGCGGCTTCCTGTTCAAGTGTATGGTGGCCTCAGGCAGCTTACAGCAGTTTCCGCCTCCCTAGCCAGGTTTGCAGCCCTGACTTCTAAAGAAGGGAAAGATGCTCTTCCTCCCAAATCCTTTAGCAAAAGTCCCGGGGAGGATTGCCTTTGGTCCAGCTCGAGCCGAGTGCCAGCCCCTCTGTCAGTCCCTGCTCGGGGCTGGGGGTCGGTCCTCTGCCTGGAGTCACGGGTCTGTGTCAGCTCATGAGAAAGGAGGGCTGAGAACGAGGGAGGGGTCATTCCTCTCCAGAAATCAGGCCACGGCCACCGGGAAGTAAAGGAGGGCAGTCAAAAGCATCAGATACTCTCTGTGTTGGTAGGGGCTCAGGTGAGCTGCACAGTGTCTAGCGACATCTCTTGGGAAGGGTTTGCTGTGTCGCTGGTAAGAGGGACCCTCCTCTTGTAGAGATCGGGCTGCTTCTCAGTTTGATCCTCCGAGTCAGCTGTGAAACCTGAGGGTGCCCAGCCGGCAGGGGCGCATCTCAAAGCCGACTGCATTGTGACAATTTCATGTAGATTTCAGAGGCGGCCCATGATATGATACCTTCCCCCCAGTTCTCCCCGGTTATGGCCAGCCGCTTCCACCAGGGCCACGGTCAGCATCCTCTGCAGCCCAGCTAGGTCGTGAGCAAGGTGGGGTGTGTCCTCTCTGTCTTCACAGTTGATGGTGACGCAGGTGGCACTGCCACCAGGTTAGGCGGAGAAGCCCGAGCAGGTGTGGCTTTCTCTTATCAAGTCCTGCCTGCGTTCCCTCTGCCCTGGACTTCCCCCCTCCCGGCAATCCTGTTAGGTTAACTAGCCATCTGCTGTCTCATCAGTGCTTTGCTTTGGAAACACTGAGGTTTTCCTGCAAATACCAGAATATGCAGCAACAAAAAACAAAGCATCCGACCTATGAAACTTCTTCACGACTTACTGTGTAGCTTGACTGGCGGTCACAGCAAGGGACAGCGATGCTCATTCCGCCCCGTCTTATAACTTCTGGCTGGTTGATGGGATGCTCGTTCCCCTGAAACTTTTCTGAGATTTCAGAGATTTTCAACACGTTTTTGCCTTTTAATTTCAGGGACCCTTAATTACAAAGGGTATAAGTGGCCCCGAAAGAAATGACTTTAGAGCGCCCTGTGCCTTGATGTCACCTGGGATAGTCGGAGCTCGTTGACCTCGGGGACGGTCGGGGACGGTGGCACTCTGGGCTAGGTTGTGTCGGGAGCCCGCGAGGCGTGGCCTCTGTGGCTGTCGCGTGTGGGCGGTCCTCTCCCTGTCACCTGCTGTCTGTGCTCCAGGGCGGCGCAGTTCCTGAGGAAGATGGCGGACCCCCAGTCTATCCAGGAGTCCCAGAACCTGTCCATGTTCCTGGCCAACCACAACAGGATCACCCAGGTGAGGGCAGAACCCTCGTCGGTCCTGGCCCGGCGTCTCGGGGGATACGGGCAGGGGTCTCGAGGTTGCGTGGGCTGCGAGCCCAAACAGACCAGCTCAGTCCACGCCTTCCATCCCCACTGGTCTGTGCGAGAGTGAGACAAAGCTGCAGACTCAGTCTCCCCTCCCCGCCAGACGGCCGTTTCCCCTGCTCCAGGTTTCATATCCCCGGAAGTCCCGTCAGCCAGCGCTCTGCCCCTACATCTGTGCAGAGGTTGACAGCGTGGGGTCTAGAGTCAGCCGGCCTTGTTTGCTAATCCTGCACTGCCTCTGACCCTTTGTGAGACTTTGGGCAAAGCCCAAGCCTCAGTGTACTCGTCTGTAAAATGGGTCTGTTCGTTTAAGAATATTATTAGCATCCATCATAGGACTGTGGTAAGAAATAAATGAGACAGTATATAAAAAGCCCTCATCATGCAGAGCCTGACACACGGTAAGAGTGTGAAGCAGGACGTAGCTATTGTTCAGCTGCTGCGCTTTGCCAGGGCACCCCCTCTCAGCGGTCACTCTCCTGTCCTGCCCAACGTGACATAACCCATTTCCACCTCTGTCAATGCAGTGTAAACAGGCACGGGCAAGAATGCCTGCAGGACCCAGGCCAAACTGAGAGGGGCCTCCGTCTTCCAAGGGTTTTCAGGCTCAAATGCCTGTCTGTGCTCAAAGCCCTGGGGTTGGCAGGGCCCTCGCTACTTTTTGTTAACTGCAGAAGGCTGCTCAGCCACTGAGGCTCCAGGTTTCCTTTCCTGGAGCCCCATCTCAGCAGCGCCCTCCTCTGGATGTCCCACAGGGGGAAGGGCCTGGGGGGGGTGGGGGGCTCCTTCCCTGACAGCAGGTGTTCCTGCTGTGTCCTGCCAGGAGGGAGGCACCAGCTGGCCCAAGTCCCCTCCCCTACCCTGGTCTGCAGATACCTCACAAATAAGCCCACACCCTCAAACCTAAGCTGAAATGCCTACACGCCCATTGCTGTAAAGCTGAGCTGATTTTCTGGCACGTTCTAGCCATCGGAACTGCCAGGTAATAAAACGGAGCGTCACAAGTGGGGTGCGCCCCCTGCCATGGGAGGCGTGCAGGAGCTCTGACCAACCCCTGCGGGGACGTGGGGGGGAGGATGCAGGTGTCAGGTGCTGGCTGGCTTGAGGGCTCCCCTTCACCTGGGGCTGTCTGCAACTCTGGGCCTTTAGCAGGGGTGGGGGGCCATGTGCTCGGTCACCAGCCACTGAGCCCAGGCGCAGGTGCAGGTCACGTGCACTGCCTAACCAGAGGGTGGCGCTGCTGTTCAGTGTCTCCACCAGCAACTGGAAGTGATCCCAGGCTACGAGGAGCTCTTGGCGGACATTGTCAACATCTGCGTGGATTACTACGAGAACAAGATGTACCTGACCCCCAGCGAGAAACACATGCTCCTCAAGGTAAAACTCCCCGGCCACATGCCACAGGGCTTGCCCTCTTACCTCCTCCTTATTTAAACTCATTTCTAAAAATATAATATACTTTTTTTCTTAAACATAGATACAGATCTAACGGCATGTACTGGTTTGCAACCTGTTCCTTTCCTTTCAGTATATGCCATCTTCACCTTCTAAATGCCATTAAGGACAGTCCTGCAGTGTAATTTTTAATGACTGCTGGGTATGCCATCATATGGGGACGTTGTTATTAAACAGATCCCTGATGGTTGGATATTTGTTTGCTGAGCTACATTAATCACTCTTGTTGTACAGCCTTTTGTGCACTTCTTTTTGTCAAGCCAAACTTCCTGGAAGAGAAATTGTCAACTCATTAGGCAGAATCTTCAAGCTTTTGTGCTATTTTGGCAAAATGATCATAATTGTTTTATCAGTCTACGAGTCTCGTTCCAGAATTATTGTCATATTTATTGTGGAAAAATCTGGAACATACAGGAAAGCATAAAAAAATTAAAGTAGCCGGGCACGGTGGCACAGACCTGTAGTCCTAGCTATGTGGGAGGCTAAGGCAGGAGCATCGCTTGAGCCCCAGGAGTTAGTCCAGCCTGGGCAACATAGCAAGACACTGTCTCTTAAAAAAAAAAAAATGTCTTACAGTGTTTCCACCCAGAGATCACACTTTTAGCATTTTAATGTATGTCTTCCTAATTTTTTTCTATGCTTATATATTTTCAAAATTTGTAATATATGTAAGCATATATCATTTTTATCCCATGTGATTAAATGTCTTTGGAATACTATGCAGCTACTAAATTATGTCGTGTGGATGAAGCTCCATTTCTTCATCCATTATTTTACTTTTGGCTGCGTAGGTGATTTCTAGCTTACACCCGACAGCTGTAGCACTGAAATGAACAACCTCCTCCAATTCTTTACACATTGCCAGGCCCCTTCGGCTTCTTCCCCAGAATTTCACCTCTCAAAAATCTGGTACTTTTTTTTTCTCCTTCATGTCACTCTTGCTTAGTCTAAGATTCCCAGCCCTGCCTTGGTGTCCCCATTTTACGTTTTGTAGCACCTCAACTAAGTTTGCAGGGCTGGGTGGCTTTGTGGCTTGTTCACTCTGGTTTCCCTGTGACCATCAGAAACCCAGGAAAGTCACCCAAAGTTGAGACGCCCTCTCACCCCCAGTGCTGTAGCCGTCTCCAGGCTGGGTTACTCAATTCCAAGCAGTCGTAGATGCTGCTGGCCCTTCTTTTCCCTCGCTCACCTTTGATCCCTCCACACCTCGACCTCCCTGCCTCCCTCCCTCTTCATTCCCCACCCTCCTTAATCCGGCCTCCCCCACCTTTCCCCCCCCCCCCCCAATTTCCTGTCTCTCTGCAATTTGCGTTGCTGCACGCAGATGCCACCAGGGGGCGCCATCCACCTTACAGGGAAAAGCATGGTGTTCTTCCTGCCTAACCAAGTGCACCCAAGGGGGAAGTGACCATAGCAGGCTCTGGTCCCCCTCCTTTGTGTCAGATGAGAAACAGAGGCACAGAGAGAAGTGGCTTCCCCATGGTGACACAGCTATTCAGGCCCCTGCAGCTGTACGTGTTCAAAGGAGCAGGCAAGCCAGCATTCGGGAGACTTAAGTAGATTGGAATCAAGAACGCTGACTTACAGCACATTTTCACGAAGAGGTTTGTTTTTAAAAAATAGTCACCAGTGGCTCCTTGGGAACCTTTACATTGCCGGTTCTGTTGGGAAGGGAGCGATAGATATTTTACGTTCACGCACTGTTCAGCAAGTATTCAGATGTGTGCCTGGGTGTGCCACACCCCAGGGACACAGCAAGGAGCCAGAAGCAGTCCTTTCTCTCAGGAAGGGCCTAAGGGAGCAGATCTTGTCGCCAGATCCTGTTCAGCTCCTGCCTCTGCAGCTTAGCTGTGTGCTCTTGGCAAGCTGTCGAACAAGCCTCTCTGTGTCTCTGATTCTTCATCGATAGAACAAGGTCATTGTACAGAACTTACAAGACTGTTGTGAGAATTAAGAATAATGCTTGTTACAGCCCAAAGTGCAGACTCTGGCCCATAGTAAGGCCTGAAGAATTAGCTGCCATGATAGCGTACTACATTTCTGGTTGAAATTAGACCTACGTTTCCTGTTTTGATTGGAAGCCCCATGGGTTTTGATGATTGTGTGTCTCTGTATACACACACACACACACACAGACCTACTTTTTGTTGTTGTTTAACTTTTCCCGTGGGTGTGATTAGCTCCTGTGCTCTGCCCCTTCTCGTTCTAGGTGATGGGCTTCGGCCTTTACCTGATGGATGGAAATGTCAGTAATGTTTACAAACTGGATGCCAAGAAGAGAATCAATCTTAGCAAAATTGATAAATTCTTTAAGGTCAGCCGCTGGGGCTGGGGCTGGGGCAGGGCAGGGGGCTGGGGTCACCAGGGCCAAGATGTCTTTGGGGAAAGGAATGAAATTAGCCAGAAAACTGGGGGACTTATTAATTGGGCTGCACGGAGGAGGTGAATAGAGCGACAGGGCCCGAGACTGCAGTAGGCAGAGGAATGTGCTTTGTAGAAGGCTGCGCAGGAAAACCACACGTGCTTCTGAGTCTCAGGATTCACCTGGGATTTGGCTGGGAGGCCCTGGGAGTCTTTTTTGAATGCTGCTTTTTTTTTTTTTTCTTTTCCTGAAATCTCTTATCACCTAAAGAAAGAGGTGCACTCCCAAGATAGTGTCTGCTTTCGTTGCCGGTATAAATCAGAGCTCACAGAAATAGGATGATTAAAGCCTGGATTTTAGCTTGATTCACATTTGCAAGATCACAGCCTTGAACTTGGCCCATAGGAGGCCGCCCCTGCCTGCCCTCACCTCCAGGCAGAATTCCCCATCGGCGTCCACCGTACGCCCAGTTCCATTCCGGCGCCTCGGAGATGTGATCTTTTGGCCCCAGATCTTTCAAAACTTCCAGTTAAATTAAGCCTTTGAGATTTTTGCAAGGGGATTTTATACTTTGGAATTAAATCTCATGTTATCAATTTATTCTAGCATTAGGCCCCGCAGGCGTGCAGTGGGCCTGAGGGGTCAGACGTGGGAATGCCCAGCTTGCCATGAACAGCAAGACCCCTTAAAGGTAGAGTCTGGGCGCACTGACCCTTCTAGGTGAAGGGAACGTAAATCACCAAGAGGAGACCTGTGACTTGTCTTCACTTTTTTTCCAAGGCTGGAACTTCTATTTTTCTCTAGAGTTGCCCCAAATAAAAAACTCATCTTGGGAGACCCTTGCAAAATCCGCCTTAAGTCAGCATGAACCAGACGAGGGTAGCTCAGAACAACAGCCTCTGCCCAGACAGGCCTGGGCTTGAGTCTGGCCCTGCCACTTAACAGCAGCTGGACGGCTTTGGGAAAGTCACTGCGTTGCCCTAAACTGAGTCCCCCAGTCTGAAAATATGATTGCTAAGGTCATCTACTCTGTAGGGTTCCATGAGGATTCCGTGGGATTCCATAAGTGAGTCAGAGCCCTGGGTTAGACTCGGGGCTCCTTGCATTCCAGCTGGCCTGACTTTGTGAAAAATCACGGACGCTGTTTAAAACTTCAGTTTCTTCATCTGTGAAGCGGGAGCGATAAAAGCACTGACTTCACTGGGCTATTGCGTGATCTGAGATACTGTTTGCAAAGTGCTTGGCGCAGGACCTAGCCAGTGAGAAGCAGACGTTAAATACCAGCCCCCTTCTGTTTGCCCTGGTCTCTGGCGGGGAGTCGTCTGCCCTCTGGTGTCAGGCGTTACCATGGTTTTCATCACATTCACGGTGTAGACCAGGTGTCCTCAAACTACGGCCCTCGGGCCACATGCCAGCCACCTAGCACATTTATCCGGCCCTCCGGGTGTTTTTGCTGCCGCTGCCTGTCCTGCCTAGCAGCCGACTCATCCTGGGCCCACAGCGAGCACTCTCCGACGGTCTGAGGGACAGTGGAACTGGTCCCCTGTTTAACAAGTTTGAGGACCCCTGGTGTAGACCCTCTCAGGAAGGCCACACCCAGCCAGCGGCACTCAGACACCCGCATAGCAGCAAGGATCCTCTAAGCTGGGGAACCTTAGAGCAGAAAGGACCCGGGCCTGGGTGGCAGGCCATCTGTCTGGCCCTGGGCCTTCATCCATTCTGCTGGCCGGCGACCTTAGACAAGTCACTTTGCCTTGCCGGGCTGTGGCCTGGAGCACAGAATTGGTTGGAGGCAGAGGAGGACCTGTACGCAGGCTGGGTGTCACACAGTGGCATCCTCAGAAGCAGAAAGCAGGGGACGAGCCCCGGGCACACACACACCCTGCCTCCCCCGGCGGGGTGGCTCTGGCCCGCTCTCGGCGTCTCACGCGCTGTGTTTGCTTCCTTTGCAGCAGCTGCAGGTGGTGCCCCTTTTCGGCGACATGCAGATAGAGCTGGCCAGATACATTAAGACCAGTGCTCACTATGAAGAGAACAAGTCCAAGTGAGTGCCTGCCGTAATGTCTCTCGGCTCCCGCGAGGACGCCCAGCCTGGGCAGGGAGCCAAGGGGCCACTTCAGCCCCTCCTCCCTCCCCAGAGCCCTGGGCAGGTGGATTCCGTCAGACCGCCGGCCGCAGGGGAGCCGCGGGGGGTGCTCTGAGCCCTTTTGCAGCCGTCCTTTGCCGCCAGGTCCAAAAGGGCCAGAGCACAGCCGCACCCCTGGCCAGCCCAGCAGTGCCCAGCGGGTCCCGTCGGTGGGACGGCAAGAGCCCTCCTCCTGCCCCCCGAGAAGCGGGGAGGAGTGGCCGGCCCGCAGGGGTCGGGGCGAGAGGTGGTGTCGTTACTCCTCACCTGTGGAGGCATTGTGGCCGTGCAGTGAGTCCGTTGCGGAGCGTGTGGTCTGGCTGGTCCCAACGATGAAGTGGGTTGACAGCCTCACCTCGGGTCACTTTACAAACCACGGTCCTAGGTCACCGGTGCTCAGGCCTGGGGTGTCAGTCAGTGCCTCACAGGAGTTGGGGTGCATCTGGCTCTTCTTTGACCGCCCCTTTGATCTCTGAGGCCATCGAGGAGGTTCCTTCTGTGTGCGTCTTGCCCGAAGTTGGGTGGATGTGGCCTTTCTGTACAGACGGGGACCGACACCCCTGAGTCAAGGGCGAGGGCATCAGTGCCTTAAAAAGGTACCAATAGGCCGGGCGCGGTGCCTCACGCCTGTAATCCTAGCACTCTGGGAGGCCGAGGTGGGAGGATCACTCAAAGTCAGGAGTTCGAAACCAGCCTGAGCAAGAGCGAGACCCCGTCTCTACTAAAAATAGAAAGAAATTAGCTAAACAACTAAAAATATACAGAAAAAATTAGCCGGGTATGGTGGTGCATACCTGTAGTCCCAGCTACTCAGGAGGCCGAGGCAGGAGGATCGTTTGAGCCCAGGAGTTTGAGGTTGATGTGAGCAAGGCTGAAGCTACGGCACTCTAGCCCAGGCAGCAGAGTGAGACTCTGTCTCAAAAAAAAAAAAAACAGATACCAGTGACACATCTTTGAAGTGCACCACCTAGAGCCGCTGCGAATGAGCCTCCCCGAGAAGAGCCAGTTCAGTCTCTCCATAACCCTCCAGCTGCTGGTGTGTGAAGAGGTTTTGTAGGAAAAGCAAGGAGTCAAGAATGCCAGACTTTTCCCTGCATGACTTCTCAACCACCTGAAGGTGGCTGGGAGTGGAGGCTGCTGGGGTGGCCAGGGCGGGTGTCAGGTTTGAGGGGTGGTACCCCGATCCGTGCACGAGTAACTCAGAATGAAAGTGACAGCGAAGGGCAAGCCCAGAAAGGCCATCGCCACTCTGCTCTTCTCATGAGGACCACTCCAGGGACCCTTGTGAAATACTAAATTCTCCCCGAAATGTGTTTCTGCCTCGTGTGGTGCTCGTGCTTAGACTCTGCCGGTCGCCAGCACCCGATGGCGGGAGAGTGTGACAAGAGTTGTCTTTTTTTCTCAGGGGGATGGAGAGGGAGGATTTGCATTCATTGACTTCCTCCATGATTCAGGGTGGTTTTCCCAATGACATCTTCCCAAAAAGAGTTGCAGAGAAAGAAGAGAGGGAGGGGGAGAGGAGGGGTAGGGTGGAGAGAGAGAGAAAGAGTAGAGAAGGGGGAGGGAGGGAGGAAGAGAGCACAGCCAGGTAGCTTCTGTCCATGGAGTGCTTCCGTGTTGCCAGGTCACCTGGGTCCCGTGTAGGTCTCCTAGTCCTGGCCCAAAGGCCCCGGCAAAGCCGGCTTCACCTGCAGACTGTGAGTGCTGTCAGAGTCAGTAGGCAGGTTCAAGGAGGTTGCCCGCCTTGCTTTCTATTTGCTTGGATTCCAGCCCTGTGTGCCTCTAGAGAGGCTGGGGTTCCTCCCTTCTCATACTGCTGGTAAGTATCGTGGACTCTACATGTCTGGAAAGGCCTGCGATGGGGTCTTGGCGGAGGCTGGCCCCAAGGAGCAGGAGGAAGGACCACTGCACTAAGCCTGAGGTCCCCACGGCATCGTACTTAGAGGGCTCTCTTGCTAAGGTGGCTGGGATGATGCCTTTTGGTGCCACCCAGGGGAGCCGGCCACGTTGGGTGAGCCCTAGGAGCAACTCGTGCCTGTCCCACCGAGGCGCCTGGGGCCCGGCCCCGCTCCGACCCCCTGATTGTCTACCCAGGTGGACCTGCACTCAGAGCAGCATCAGCCCCCAGTACAACATCTGCGAGCAGATGGTTCAGATCCGGGATGACCACATCCGCTTCATCTCCGAACTCGCTCGCTACAGCAACAGCGAGGTGAGCGCGTCTGGCTGCTGGGTGGGTGGGCCCAGGACCAGAAGGGGTGAGGAACAGCAGGGAGAGGACATGAACCCGTAGGTGCCGGAGAGCAGGAGTGAGGCAGTGCATGTCGGAGGCAGGAGGGCCATGGAATTTAGAGACCGACTGAGGTTCACCCTGGTTCTGCCATTGCCCTTTGCAAGTTATCTAACATCTCTGAGCCTCAGTTTCCTCATCTGCGAGATGAGGGTAATAATAGTTTCTATTCTGAAAGGTTCATTTGAGAGGATTAAACCGTATGGTGCCTGGAGCGTGCATTATGCCTGGCAGATGGTAAGGGCTCAGTAATTGTGAGTTCTGCCTGCACATGATCCAACCCACCTTCACCCTGGATGGCAAGGGGGACTGAGTTCTGAGCACTCATCCTCAGAACACCATCTAAACATTTCTAAACTACACAATAATAAACGATCATTGTAAAAAAATCAGAAATACAGTTAGCAAAACTAGGAGACCCTAAAAATTTCCTGTAATCTCAGTAATTATGTTTCATTGCATTTTCCTTTTTTTCTAAGTATTTTTTAAAATATGGAAACATGATCGATGCACAAACCTCAAAAAAATACGGATATGCAAAAGGAGAGAAAAATCATGTAAAAATCCTGCCATCCCAGAACCAACTATGATCAATATTTGGGTATATCTATCCTTCTGGATCTCGTCCCACGTACACCCTTCTAACATATGTGTTGTTTGATAAACACAGGGCCCCTGTATTGCTTTAGTCCCCAGCGCTCCCAGATGGCTCAGTTCTGCCCTCGTTTGCTCCTGGTTCCACCATGGGCTAGCGGCCAAGGGGCTCATGCTTTCCAAACCTAAACTCAGGGAATGTCTTTGATCACAGAGCAACATATTAGAAACAGGGACAGTCTGACAAATGCAGCAGTGTGGTGTTTGCACTGGTGGCCCCCATGGATCAACTTCAAGCCCGAACCTTTAGCTTTCTTAACCACATGTCTCAATCAACTGAACTGAAGCTACAGGAATAACTTACCTTGAGTGCTAGGGCTCCCTAATTCCTAGTCAAGTTTCGATGTGGTCCAAAAGTGAGTCTGGCCCAGGATATTTTTTTAAATTACATGCTTTATACATATGTGTAAATAGTCGATTCTCATTGTTTGCAGTGGTTATGTTCTGTAAAGTGGTCACAAACTCTGAATTGCCAAATACTGAATCATCATTCTAAGGAAAAAACACAGAGTTATGTTCCTGGGAACCTCTGGTCATATTTTTGTCAACTGATCAATATATAACCTTGTGTTATATATGCTTCTGTGTAAAGATGCTTTATGTGGTGTATGTTGTTGGCTCATTAACATTAATTCATGGCCAACAGCACTGTAACTTATGCCTGAGTAAAGCTTATCTTAAGCACGTATTTTTTCATAAGACGTGCTGCGGCTTTCTTGCACATAGAAACACTGTAGTACGTTAGCCCCAAGCTGGGGGATCATTTTAAATTATGAAATCACCCAGAAAAAGCACAAAAATATGGACAGCATGGCATTAAACAGACTACAGAAAGGACACGTGTTTACAGTATGAGAGCTGAAACAAGATTGCAGAGGGTCACCTCATCCAACCTCAGCTGAGATTCGTGCACATGTCTGCAAATGACTGAGAAATTGCTACAAGCGTTGATTTTAGGGTTACAAATACATTTTAGTAAGTAGGTTAATTCAAAATACAGAATCCACCAATAATGAAGATTGTATCCGTATATATGCATGTACATATATGCACATGTTTGTGCATATTTGCACATGCATACATATTATATTTCATTGTGGAATATTCCACATGCAGAAAGATATTTGTACCTGTGCTTTTCAATCAGCAAGTCATGTCTAATGAATGAATTGCGCATTCATTTTTGTATGAAATGAGCATTTCTGTATGAAATAGAAAATCAGGGAATCCTGTGCATTAAGAATAAGATTGCTTTGTGAAAAATATTGTTGCATACATATATTTAATACCTCTATGTAAGTATGTATTCCTAGTTACTATATAGTACACCTTTCCTACTGTGAATACAGTAAAAAAAAAAAATCGACAGGCAAAATGCCCTATGATATACCAAGGTAGGAATATATTCACACCATCTGAATTTGAACCCTCAACCACTTGCAAGCCATGTGGCCCTTCAGCAAGACACTTGTCTGAGCCCCAGTTTATCTGTCAAGGGAATATAATAATAGAACTTCCCTGTAGTGTTCTTGGGCAGGATTGATGCAATAATGTATAACAGTGCCAGCCACTTAGATAGTGCATGTGATGGTCAATATTCCCCAGGTGGTGACGGGCTCGGGACTGGACAGCCAGAAATCAGACGAGGAGTATCGCGAGCTCTTCGACCTGGCCCTGCGGGGCCTGCAGCTGCTGTCCAAGTGGAGTGCCCATGTCATGGAGGTGGTAGGTGTCCCTCGGACAGAGGTCCTCTTGCCGACCTCTGTTCCCTTACGATCTGCCTCTTTCTCTCCCAGCACTCTTTTTATAACAGCTTTATAGAGATGTAATTCATATACCATATCATCTACCCATTTAAAGTGTACATTCATTGGTTTTTAGAATATTCACAGAGTTGTATGACCACAATCAAATTTAGAACATTTTTCATCACTTCAAAAAGAAACCTCGAATTATCCCCCAGCCCTGTGTAATCTACTTTCTGTCTATAAAAGTTTCCTTATTCTGGATGTTTTACATAAATACAGTCATACAATATGTGGACTTTTTTTTTTTTTTAATCTGGCTTCTTTTATTTCATATGTTTTCAGAGTTTATCCATGTTTTAGCATGAATCAGTACCCAGTTCCCTTTTTATGGCTGAGTAATATTCCATTGCGTGGCTATGCCACATTTTGTGTATCCATTCATCAGTTGATGGACATTTGGATTGTTCCCACTCTCTCCAGTACTCTTGGAAGCTGGTTCACCCCACAGACAAGTTCTGCAACAAGGACTGCCCCGGCACAGCGGAGGAGTACGAGAGAGCCACGCGCTACAATTACACCAGCGAGGAGAAGTTTGCCTTCGTGGAGGTAGGTGCAGGCTCCCTGCAGGTCCTCCCTCTGCCCTCCCCCAGATGCTGTTTCACAAGCCGTTCTGAGCAAGATGACAGCGTTGGCCCTCCTAATCTGCACGCTCTTCCCCGTCCCCTTCTCCCATCTAAATTAATCTGTCAAAAGTTGTTATTCAGAAATTATTAGAAACTGATTCTGTTCTTAAAAGTCCAAAGAAAAATGTCCATTGCACTAGAAAGTGGGCAAAAAGAAACCAACAGAAGAAATAAGAGAAAAGCAAAAATGGCTAAAAGAGTTATAAAAATGCCCAAACTGATGAGTGGTCAAAGAACTACAGAGTGAAAGTAAGATGGGATATATAGTATTTACCGATCAGGATAGCCAAGGTTTGAAAGATGGGTGATGCCGCAGGTTGAAGTGTGGGAAATAGACATTCTGCCATATCTTTGGTGTCCAGCCTACATTTTATGGGCTTTTCACAAGGGCGGTCTGATTATATGTATTGACACTTTTAATCTAGGAATATATCCCGGGGGAATAAGCCAACTGTGCAGAGACGTATGTACATGGGTATTTATCACAGTATTATTTATAATACCAAAATATGTAAAATAACTTAAGTGTCTTTCAACATGAGACCAGGTAAATAAATTAAGATGCAGCTGTACCATTGAATACTATGCAGTTGTTAAAAAAGATATACTTACATGGAAAGCTATGCTAAATATATTATTAAGTTAAAAAAAAGTAAAGAACAACATGTAAAATGATTACTTTTATGTTAAAATTAATATACTTTTATATATTTGATCAGAATTATGAAGGGAATAAATATATATACTAAAGTATTAACAGTAATAATTTCTGGAGGAAGGACTCTTCCTGCTTTATAACCTGCTTCCTGCTTTGAATTATTTTTTGATCATTTGATTACAAAATAATATCCCTATTTGGGAGGAAAAGTCATTCAGACTATGTTGTGAGTGAAGCTATCTCTCTGATGACCATTCGAAACCAACAAGAGACTACTCTAGAAGTCAGAGACCTGGATCCTAGCCCTGGGCCCCCATAGTCAATTCATTTCTGAGCCTCAGCTTCCTTATCTGTGAAATGGAGCTAATAATCTCTGCCCTCTCCCATCCCAAGGTTACTGTTGAGAACCAAACAATAATTGTCAGATGAGAGAATGGAGGTAGCTGAGCTTTGAAAACTTAAAGGATCATATCAATGGAAGAGGTTAGGATTGTTATTTAGGAGCTCTCCAGGGTGCATTTTAAAGGACTGAGGCCCAGTGGTTATTATTTCAGAAAGGAGAAACATTCTACTCACTCTTGACATGGTCCTGAGTGGCCTCCACCCCTCTTGGCCCTTCATTGCTAATGAGTCAACTTGGAAAAAAGCTTCCCAGGCGTTATCATTGGAAGAGAAAGTCACCCTCAAGCCCATTTAAAATGAGACCTACAGTCACAGGGTCCAAGCAACTTTGTAAAACTGTTTATGTGTTTCTTTGCTTAATATAAGGGATGCGCATGCTCTGTTGGTGATTTAGAAAATGCCCCTCCAACCTCACTCCTGCCTTTACCTTCCCCACCCTTATATCATCATCCAGATACAACCACCAAGAACATTTTACTGTAGTTCCTTCCAGTTCTTATGTTAAGACCTCTCAATGTAGAGCGCAACATTTTCATCTTATTAGTAAAACATGTTTAAAAGTTTGAAAAGAAAAATAGTTCTACATGACCTGTAAAAATAAAGCAAAAGTAGTAACCTGTACTACCCTGCTCTGCCCTGAATCCCCAAACAGGAAACAGCATTCAAGTTGTGGAGCTGTTTCTTCTGGTATTTATCACCATAGTTCTAAGTAACAGGCTTCTGAGACTATTTCTTGGTTTTTCCAATTGATGACATTCTCTGTTGATTTCCTACTTTGGGAGATAAGGATTTAGCTCTCTCATCTCCACTTCCCACCCCTCCCAAGACACCCAGCTCCCTTCCCCCATCTTCCCATAATAGTAAAGTCACACTTCTTAGTAAATTCAATAGTTACCTTATATTAGTATGACAAGTAACTCTTGTTACTTGTCCTCTTAGACCAAGTCATGTGTTCTAATATGAATACATTTTTCTTGTACCACTTTTGTTTTTCCTAGAGTTAACAAAGCCTTATTTTTTGTTTTTTCTATGAACCTATCAAACAGGCAACCCTAAACATACCAACAAAATATAGAACTCCTTACAAAATAATCCATCACAATCATTGTTTTATGATTTTTTTTTTTCTTGGAGCCATTCCTCTTTCCTTTTTTCTAAATTGCACTGGTTTCCTCCAGACCAGCCTGGCCACTGATCTGAGAGCTCATCATCATCATCTTGAGGGTCTGCCTTTTTCTTCATATTGGTGGCAGAGATCCTCCAATAGCTTCCTAAGAAAGGGATTATGGGGGGAAGATGTTTGAGAGCTTGAATGTCTGATTTTATTTATTTTATTCTGATTTCACATTGTAGACAGCTAAATATAGAATTATAAATTTCTTTTTCCAAATTTTTAGAAGTGTTATTCTGTTGTCTTCTAACCTCTCTGATGTTGCTCTTTAAGTTGGATTCTATTCTAATCCCTGATTCCTTGTTTATTTCCTCTGCAGAATTTTTAATATAATGGCTTTATTGAGATATAATTCACATACCCATAAAATTCACCTTTTTAAAATGTACGATTCAATTGGCTTGAATTCCTGGGCTCAAGAGATCCTCCTACCTCAGCGTCCTTAATGGCTGGGACTACAGGCAAATACCACCACGCCTGGCTAATTTGTTTTTGTAGAGATAGGAGTCTTGCTGTGTTGCCCAGGCTGGTCTCAAACTCCTGGCCTCAAGTGACCCTCCCATCTCAGCCTCCCAAAGTGCTGGGATTATAGGTATGGGCTGCGACAGGCCATTGCTGTTTAATTTTAGAACACTTTTGTCACCCCCAAAGAAATCCATACCCATTAGCAGTCACTTTCCATTTTTCTACCCCTGGTCTCTAGCAACTACTAATCCTGTTTCCTGTCTCTATAGATCTGTCCATTCTGAAGATTTTGTATAAATGGACATATACTTATGTAGTCCTTTGTGACTGGCTTCTTTGATTTAGCGTACTGTTTTCAAAATTCATTCTTTCTGTAGTATGTATCAGTATTCGATTACTTTATAGTTGAATAATATTCTATTGTGTGGATATACCCCATTAGTTTATATATTCATCAATTGCACATTTGGGTAGTTTCATCTTTTTGTCTTTTATGATTAATGCTTATATGAACATTCACGTACAAGTTTTTGCGTGGAAATATGTTTTCATTTCCCTTGGGTATATACCTAGGAGTAGAATTGCTGGGTCGTATGGTGACTCTATGTTTAAAATTTTGAGGAGCTGCCAGATTGTTTTCCAAAGTTGCTGCACCATTTACAGTTCTGCCAGCAGCTGTAGGGTTGCAATTCCTTCACATTGTCATCACTTGTTATTGTCTTCTTCATTTTAGCCATCCTAGTGAGATGTGAAGTGATATGAAATGGTATCTCCTTGTGGTTTTAACTGATAACCCTGATATTGAGCTTTTAACTAGTAGTATTGAGCATTTTTGTGCATATTGGCTATCTGCCTTTGGAGAAATGTCTATTCCAATCCTTTGCCCTTTTTTAATTGGGTTATTTATCTTTTTATTTTTGAGTTGTAAGAGTTTTTATGTATTTTTGATACTAGTCCCTTATCAGATATATTATTTACAAAAATTTTCTCCCATTCTGAGGGTTGTCTTTTTACTTTCTAGATGGTATCCTTTGAAGCCCAAAAGCTTTTAATTTTGATGAAGTCTAATTTATTTTGTCTTTTATCACTCATGCTTTTCATGTCATATCTAAGAAACCATTGCCTAATCCAAGGTTGCAAAGATTTACTCCTGTGTTTTCTTGTAAGAGTTTTTGTAATTTTAGCTCTTATATTTAGGTCTTTCATCCATTTTGAGTTAATTTTTGCATATGGTTCATTTTTTTTGCATGTGCATATCTAGTTGTCCCTGCACCATTTGTTAAAAAGAATGTTCTTTCTCCATCGAATTGTCTCGGTAAGCTTGTCAAAATTCAGTTGACCATAAATGTGAGGGGTTATTTCTGCATGTTAAACTCTCTTCCATTGATTTATATGTATATCCATATGCCAGTGGCACAGAGTTTTTGCTTACTGTAGCTTTGTAGTAAGTTTTGAAATCAGGAAATGTGAGTCTTTCAATTTTGTTCTTCTTTTTTTATCTCTAGAATTTTATAGGCTCATCTCTTTATCCGTGCTGTTCTGAAATTTCACTGTGAGATAGCTTAATGACGATCTTTTGCATTCATTTTTTTGTGATACTAATTAGGCCATTTCAGTATGAAAACACATTTACTTCAGGACTGAGAAATTTCCTTGTATTTTAATTTTGGCAATTTTCTCCTCTTGGTTTTCTTTCTTTTTTCTGAGTTTTCTGTTTGTCAGATGATGGGCTTCCAAAATTTGGTCCCTAATTTTTTAATCTTTTCTCTCTTATTGTACCTCACTTATTTTTGGTCTGCTTTATGGGGATATTCCCTTAAATTCAACTTCAAATTTTATTAGGATTTTTAGATTTTGGCTATGATATTTTTAATGTCCAAAAGTTCTGTCTTGTTCTCTGCATGTTCCCTTTTTACAACACCCAGCTCTTGTGTCATAAATGTGATCTCTCCATAAAGATATTATAGCTTTTTGTAATCATCTCTATTGAGGTATAATTTATAATTCAAAAAACTACATCCACTTAAAGTGTATAATTCAAAGAGTTTTGACAGTTGTTTATATACCTGTGAAACCACAAACAGAATCAAGATACAGGACATTTCCATCTCCCCTTACAGATTGTTTTGTTACTTTGCAATCCATCCGTCGTTCATTTCTTACCCAGGTGTGAACTGACACTTTGAGTGGCCCTGGCCTCGTGTTTCTGGATGTCTCATACCCTCCTCCCCCCGAGAGGTGGTGGGGGTGGTGGGCAGGCTGGTGTGCTGAGGCTTGGTGACCCTGACCCTTGGTCTGCGCCTGGCCAGGTGATCGCCATGATCAAAGGCCTGCAGGTGCTCATGGGCAGGATGGAGAGCGTCTTCAACCAGGCCATCAGGAACACCATCTACGCAGCCCTGCAGGACTTTGCCCAGGTGACGCTGCGCGAGCCCCTGCGGCAGGCGGTGCGGAAGAAGAAGAACGTCCTCATCAGGTGGGTGAGCACGTGGCCCTTTTCAGGGACGTGTCAAAAGTAAGCGGTGCTGAGTGCGGGCTGGAGAGGAAATTCCCGCCCAGTCAGCTTCCAGATGAGTCTCTGAACACACTCAGACCCTTCCAGCAGGTTCCAGGGGGTCTCCTTAGGAGATTGGACATTTGGGATGAATTAAGCCTCCGTGTCTGGGTTTGGATCCTTCATTCACACCTTGTCTAGCTGTGTGAACCTACTCAAGTCACTGACCTCGGAACCTCAGTCTTCCCATTCGTAAAATGGGGATGATAACAGTGTCTACTTCATAGTCTGTTATGATGATGAAATGAGATACTCCACGGGTAGACCTAAGCACATGGCAGCACGGGGTCAGTATGTAATACATACAAGCTATCATGAAAACTTTAAATATACAGAGATTTGATGATTTCCTATAACCAAAAAGGAAAAATAATCACCCTGCCTCACCCAAGTTCTTTCTCACGTCACGGGCTCAGAGGTGAGTGTGCAGTGTGCAGACATCCAGCCGGCATCAGAATCGTGTGGGACGCTTGTTAAAATGCAGATTTCTGGACCGCACCTTACCCCTTTGCACGCGGATGCCGAGTGTGACTTGACACGGTTAGCAAAAATTATAGAGATTAAAATTACTCTTTGAATGTATCAATAATTTGAAATATAAAAAAAATTCCAAATAAGTTTGTATAAAAAGAAACCCCAGTTTTTTATTCTGCTGCTGTGCTTTGTAAAATCTGGGGTATTTAAAAAATTAAATCCCAAGTAGAATAAAGGAATCGAGAAAAAAGCAAGCGAGTGCAAAGGGTTAAATCTGTTAAGCAGCATGGTTGGCCGGGCTCGGTGGCTCACGCCTGTAATTCTAGCACTCTGGGAGGCCGAGACAGGCGGATTGCTTGAGGTCAGGAGTTCGAAACCAGCCTGAGCAAGAGTGAGACCTCATTTCTACTAAAAAAAGAAAGAAAAGAAAAGAAAGAAAGAAAAGAAAGGAAAGTAGCTGGACAACTAAATGTGTGTGTGTGTGTATGATACATATACATATATATATATATAAGTTAATATATTATATATATATATAAAAGTAGCCGGGCATGGTGGCACATACCTGTAGTCCCAGCTACTTGGGAGGCTGAGGCAGGAGGATCACTTGAGCCCAGGAGTCTGAGGTTGCTGTGAGTTAGGCTGATGCCACAGCACTCTATCCCAGGCAACAGAGTGAGACTCTGTCTCAAAAAAAAAATAAAAGCCAGTGTCGGGGGGAGCAGGAATGAGCATGCTGCGCAGCAGCCCAGCGTTCTGATGCAGGTGGTCCAGGGACACCATGGGCCCCAGAGATGCAGGCCCGCAGTGCGTCCCTCCCATGCTGAGACCGCGTCTGAGGCTCAGTTCTCCCTTCTCCAGTGTCCTGCAGGCAATTCGGAAGACCATCTGTGACTGGGAGGGAGGGCGAGAGCCCCCCAATGACCCGTGCTTGAGAGGGGAGAAGGACCCCAAAGGTGGCTTTGACATCAAGGTGCCCCGGCGTGCTGTGGGGCCATCCAGCACACAGGTAAGCGGCTCTGGGCACAGGCCAGCTTGGTTGACTCACAGGCCAGCCTGGCCGCAGCAGGTCCTCGTGGTGGGACCGTGGGACGGGGATGGGCCCCTCGGTCAGTAGGGGCAGGGTTGAGCAGCTGCTCTGGTCTTACTCTGCCGTCTTGTTTTGGTGTAGAAAGGAGGACCACTGGCTAAAGATTCAGGAGACCTGGATTCTAGTCCCAGATACCTGTGTGACCTTGGGCACGTTATAGAATCTCTCTGTGCCTCAGTTGTCTAATCTGGCCAATAGGGATAATACCATATCCACCTATCCTGGGTATCTTGTAGCCTTAAGAAATAAAGATTCCAAAGTGAAGGAGGAGTTTAAAGTGGAATCGGTATGCATCAATCCTGTCTCTCTTTAATAAGCCCCGGCACCTGCCCCTGCAGTGACATGCTACCTTGGAAATTCACAGTTTCTGCCTCTGACTTGCTGTGTGATCTTGGGCAAGCACCTTGACCTCTCTGAGCTCTGATTATCTCTCCGTGAAATGAAAACTTTGGAGGAGATCATGTTACTGACACAACACCCCTTATTCCCCTTATCTTCCCCAAAATGCAAGTCCAAAGCCCTTGACCGCTTAGTGAAAGTCTAGTAATCAGAAATATTCGATTGCCAGCTGGAGCTTCCATCCAATAAGAGATTGCCTGTGGCTAATCAAAAACCGTCCTAAAATTATAGGGGAGAAAAAATGAAAAATCTGGGCATCTTGGCTGAATCTTTGCCTCCTACTTAAGGACAGTAAGTAAGGATAGTGAGCGGAACTACTCTGGTAGTCCTGCCGACATATTGAAAAAGCAAGTGGATCCCATTGCAGCTTTGGGGGGGGGGTGTCTTACAGGCCCCAGAAGCCCCAGGCTGAGGACTCCTGCTTCATGTGATCCCTGGGTCCTCCGAGGTCCACCCCCTGACCCTCCTCACTGTGTGTGTGTGTCTGTGTCTGGCAGGGGACTGGGGGCGAGGCGGATTCTGGCAGGTTCATCGTAACTTCCCTTGGCTTCATAGCCCTCGGCCAGCTGGCGTTACTCTCTCCCGCTGGCTGTGGAACGTCCCACGGAAGCGTCTACAAACTGACCTGTGGGGTACCAAAGGGCCAGAGACCTTTCCAGCCCAGAATGTCCCCCGGGCGGGGTGGAGGGTGATGAACAGGGCTCACAGGTGTTTCTGTAAGTCCTAAGACACGAGCGAGGAAGAGACAGACAAGGCACAAGAAAAACTGGAAAGGTCGATGGAGGAGGGCCGTTAGCAGTCAGAGAGCAAGAGGGGAGGAAGGAGCATTTGTATAGCTAGTGAGAGAGGGGAGCATCACCAACAGTGACCCCCAGATACCACCAGGGCATGCCAAGTGGGATAGACATACTCAGTAGACTCCTAGACAGCAGAGCCCTTAGAAAAAAAAAAAACCCAGTCCCTCCCGGTATGTTACAGATGGGGAAACTGAGGTCCAGAGAGGGGAAGTGACTTGTCCAAGTCACAAGGTGAGTCTCAGGTGGAAGTGGGACAAGAACCCAGGTCTCCTGACTCCCACCCAGGCTCTGTCTCAGCCTTCAGAACACAGTGGACTTGGGTGTCTCTCGTAGCTGGGACGTAGACTGTTCTGGTGAATTAAACGCTCTGTTAAATAAAAGCAGGTGGGGACGGAGTTCACCCTCTCATGGACGAAGCCAGTTGTCAGACAGTGAGATCTTTGATACGAGCCAGTCAGCACCCACACGAGGTCGGACCCTGTGCATCGGTTCTTTGAGGACCTGGAAGGCCGTCGTAGAAGAGCGGATCTCGATTCTTAGGGATGTGGGGACGATGCTTAGTGATGTGGGGGCGCGCCCACTCACGGGGCTGCGGACGGTGCTCTGTCCGGTGAGCCGGCAGCCACGCTAGTTGCTTTACCCTGAAGGGAAGCCCTGCGGCAGGGACGGAGCGTCACATGCCCCTGTGACTGCACTGCCTAAAGAAAGGGGTGCCAGGCACGTGGCGGGGTCGACCCCAGGGCAGATCCAGAGGCAGCAGAGGTGATCGCGGTTGCTGGGAGGTTGGAGCATCTCAGAGGTGGCCCCTAGCAGTCGCGGCGGCATTCCCACCGTATACAATACCTCTTGCTTTTCTCTCTCTCTCTCTTTCTCTCTCTCCCTCCTCCCTGTCTCTCCTGCCCTCCCATCCCTCTTCCTTCTCTCCTATCTATGTCGTAGGCCTGCCAGTGGTCCCCGAGGGCTTTGTTTCACCCCACTGGTGGCACACAGGGCCGAAGAGGCTGCCGATCCCTGGTATCACACCGCCTGGCGGGGTTGGTTTGGGTACCCTTCTCGAGGAGGCAGCAGGAATGGACTAGCCTGGCTCCTCAAGGCCCCTTCCAGCCCTAAGATTCACAGACAAATGATGTGGAAAGATCTAGATTAGCAAAGAGAACAAGCCCACCGCACTTGCATCCTTTGCACTTAAGGCACTCTGTAAGCAGGAGTTAATTGCCTAGTAGCCTCCTGTGTAAGTACCAATATTAACCCGCTTTCCACCCAGGATTTCGGCGGGCTGTGCGATGCAGCTGATGCCACCAGGGGGCGCCATCGCTCAGTAACGGAGTCAAAAAAAAAAAAGGCTAAGGGCCAGAAACTTGAGGTGTGGGAGGTGGGTTCATTCTGATCTTGGGTTCATTCTGATCTGACCCCATGTCACAGTTCCTCAGAACGTTAGAGCTGAAAGGGACTGGTGTGAGAAACATCGGGTCCAACCCCCTTGTATTAGATAAGACAACTGAGGCCCAGAGTGGGGACTTTGCTGCCTCGGGTCACACAGCAAGTCGGTGGCAGCGCCTGGCCTTGAACCCTGGTCTTTTGACTCCCAGTCCAGTGCTCCACCTGTGGTGCCTGTGGCTGTCTCCTCTGATGCTCGTGGCCTTGGCTGAGCAGAGCAGACAGGAGCCTCTTCCTGGGCCTGGCGCCACCTTCTCAGGGACACTGCAGGGCCCTGGGCGGAACTTCCTGCCGGGCTCCCAGCCTCCCTCCTGGACGTTTTCGTGGTTCCAAAGCGACTTCTCCAGCCCTAAACTGGTGCTTCCTTAAGACAGTGCTTTTTAAGAGCAGACATCTGCAGAAAAAAAATAAATACAGCACAAAAGCAACCTTTCCCCGCTGGGTTGCAGGGCCGGCTTCTGACCTCTCGCGTCTCTTTCTTTTTCAAAGCTGTACATGGTGCGAACCATGCTTGAGTCGCTCATCGCAGACAAGAGCGGCTCCAAGAAGACGCTGAGAAGCAGCCTGGATGGGCCTATTGTGCTCGCCATAGAGGACTTCCACAAACAGTCCTTCTTCTTCACGCACCTGCTCAACATCAGCGGTGAGCCGCAGGGCCGGGCCCGGGGCCGGAGGACGGGGGCTCCCATCTCCTGGAGTGACCGCAGCTGCCAGGCTAGAAGTTGCAAGGAGACGTGGTGGTCGACCCCAGGGGGCACATTTTTGCCACCAAGGGGAAAACACACGCTTTCTCGTAGATTTCAGAAGCTAAGGAAGGCCAGGCTCAGTCCAGCTATTCTGGCTCAGCTAAATTTGTCCGGGAGGTACCTGTGGCCAATTTGTTGTGAAGTCCTTAATCGTGGAAGGGGATTAAAAACAGGAACCCCCCGCGTGCAGCCACACCAGGCCGTAGATGCTGGCAGCGGCCAGGAGCCCATTAGCACGTGCTGCCCCTGGCAGAGGAGCCTCCCAGGCGGCCTCCCGGTCCTGGTCCCTCCACTCTTCCCCTCCTGTTAGAAGGATGCACGTCCAGGCTGCACGGGACAGGGTGGAGGAAGATAGCATCCCAGCGACGTGAGTGTCTGTCGGTACTGCAGAGAGTGATCTTGACAAACAGTACGAGCTTCTCCGTTATGGAGCAGCCTGGGAAGGGCCTTGGGGACCTGCAAACAGCACGGGGTCTGGGAATCACCACACAGACGGGACAGGGGAGCCACAGCCCAACTGGCACGTGGGGCCGTCTTGACCCCGTGTGTGTTGCAGCGAGCACAGGTTTTACGCTTAGATTGCCGGTTTTCAGGAGGGCTTTGTGGAGTGATGATGGAACTTATGGGGGCACGTAGAGCTCTAAAACATCTTGCCCCACCCCACACACTCCCACTGCCCCTGAATCTTTACAAATGCTGTGTTCCAAGTAGACGCGGAGCCTGCCTTCAAGTACAAAAGAACAGCATCTGCTAATCGATACTTAGTACCGGCTCTGTATCTAGCAACCACAGCGACAATCATAACAGTAAACGTCAATAAAAACAACAAGAACTAAGGTCTTTGGAGCGTCCCGAGTGTAACCCGAGGCCGTCCCTTTGTGCTTGCAGAAGCCCTGCAGCAATGCTGCGACCTCTCCCAGCTCTGGTTCCGAGAGTTCTTCCTGGAGTTGACCATGGGCCGGCGAATCCAGTTCCCCATTGAGATGTCCATGCCCTGGATTCTAACGGACCATATCCTGGAAACCAAAGAACCTTCCATGATGGAGTAAGAGGCAGCATTTGGCCAGCAAGGAGGTTCCTGGGGTGCAGGTGGAGGGAGGATGGTTTTCCGGCGAGCTCCATTCTTTCTAGACGGAAACGCTGGAGTTCACTAGAGATGACGCAGCGTGTCCCACCTAGGGGAGCCCAGGCCGGGGGTCAGGCCACGCAAGGTCATGTGACTCAACTTTGCATACAGAGTCCGAAGTGCCCCCCCCACTTCTCTACCCGTACTTTGTGTGTCTCATAGCAGCTCCGCTCAGAAAACAATCATCCCTGGGGATCAGGAAGCTATAAAATCCTTAATCGCCACCAAGTTATTATTAATTATTGATTACTTTAGTGCCAGACAGATTTTCACAGGCCTTGGTGTTTATTTCATCATGGTGTTTGATTTCTTTGGGTGCACTGTGTAAAGTAAGTCTTTCTCAAGCGCCGGGGGCCCTGGCGACATCGGAGAGGGCTGGCGGGGTGTCTTTTCCCAACTCTGACCTGGTTTATATTCTCCAAGCAAGTGTAAATCCGCCTGCCTTAAGACAGCCCCTGAGCCCGCCACTGGCCGCTGTGTTTCTCTCTCCAGGTACGTCCTCTACCCCCTGGACCTGTACAACGACAGCGCCTACTATGCGCTGACCAAGTTTAAGAAGCAGTTCCTGTACGACGAGATCGAGGCCGAGGCAAGTGGCGTGCTTCTCCTTTTGTTCCTGTGATCTTGTTCTGAGATTCTCGACTTTTCCCAAAATCTTTGGCTGTTAGCACAAAGCAGGGGATTGGTGACTTACTCCAGAGAGTGGCCTTCATAACCACTGTGACCCTCAGAAAGAACCCGTGTCGCATTTGAGGGGACGGGCAGAGGTACAAATTGGGACACCCAGCTCGTGGCCTGCTCCTTCCTCTTCCCGCCCCCCAACTCTGTTCCGCACCATGAGGGGCTTCACGTGCTTGTGTACAGACACCCAAGCTCTGTCGACCTCCCTCTGCTCAAAACCAGGGGCCCCTTGGCCAACGCTGAGAACGGCTCATATACCTGCCGTGCAGCCCATCCTGAGGGAGATGAAGCCGGGGGAGAGACCACCAGCTACTCAGAGCTGGTTCCAGAAGGGGAGAATCGGGGCTGGGTGAACACCCCTGCTTTGACCCTGTAGATTCTTTGTCCAGAAGAGGGTCCACTGGGGACCCGTGAAGCTCATGGTCCAGGACAGGGGCCTCAGTTACCTGGGTATGAGGAAAGCACTACACACAGCTCTGTGTTTTTACATTCTGCATAGTATGTGGCACATAAAAGAAAAGATACGAAAGCTTTTTGAACTCCTGACCTTGAGCAATCTGCCCGCCTCGGCCTCCCAGAGAGCTAGAATTACAGGCGTGAGCCACCGCGCCAGGCCAACGTTTTGAATAGTCAACTTATGGAGCCAAGGGTTTGGTGGGAAAAGAATCCAAGATGCATCACATAAATACGGTCTGTCTCTTTCGGTGTTTCCTTAATACCCAGGGGCTGTCACAGCTCCAGCCTCGGCCACTTCCTGCTCTTGCCAATATTGGAGGATTTGGTCTGATTATCTCTGTCTGGTGTAAAATCGTCTTCCCACTTGATCACCATGATCTGCTGAAATGGGCGAGGCTTTGTTCATTCAAAAACAAAGATATTTAAGCAAAGTTTGAAAAAGGGGGGCTTTTGAATGTCTGATGATTATCAACTTCACAATCAAGTTTGCAAAGCAAGGTAAAATAAATTGAAAGGGGAAGACAAGAAAGTTGTCAGAAGAGATGGATGGGGAGACTGCAGAGTTAGCCAATAATATGAGCAACTGCAGAATCTGAGAAAGGTCTGTCCTTTCTGGGGCAGGCCACAGGACAGCCGAGGAGGGGACGGTGGGGAGGTCATCCCTCAACAGGCTTTTTGAACTTTGCCTTTTGTGTTGACTAAGTGAGGGACCCCAAGAGCAAGGGACCAAACTTACTTGGCTACAGAATCTTCTTTTTCTTCCTTCAAAGTGTCTTGCCCCAGAACGTGCTTTGGGCAATCCTGCCCAACTGCCCTATCTTCCAGTTGCCTGAGTGTCTGTGATAAAGCAGGACAGACACTATTAACCTGCCCCACTTCTTCCTCACCAGGTGAACCTGTGTTTTGATCAGTTTGTCTACAAGCTGGCGGACCAGATCTTCGCTTACTACAAAGCCATGGCCGGCAGGTAGGAGAGCCCCAGAGCTGTGAGCAGCCATCCTTCCTAAGACTGCCACCTGCAAGACTTGGTTTCTGTTGCAAAACCTCCCCTCTTCCCTAGCCCCTGAGGAAGACAGAGCCATTCCACAGGCCTGGAGTGGGTGCTGGGATGTAGAGGGAAGGAAACTAGGCAGATACGGTGCTAATAACCTCATGGAGCCTGCAGTCAGCAGGGAAGACAGACACTGATTAAAAACTGATAAATGCACACTGACCAGGGAGGGGACATGCTCTCTGTGAAGGAAAAGTTTATGGGAACACATGACGGTCAAGCCGGAAGTGCTCTTTGGGGTGGAGAATGACAAAGGCCATCTTGAGGGAGCAGCGTCTGAGTTCTTCTCTGAAGCGGGTAGGAGTTAATTAAAACTAGGTGAAGGATGGGCAGGAAATTGCATGCAAAATGAACTGCTTGTGCAAAGTCCCGGTGGCGCAAGTGTAATAATAGCAGCATGCCTACCTCGTGGGGCAGTTGAGAGGATTTGCATAAGTGAGTTAATACATGTCAGTGTCTCGTTCACGACCACAAGACATCACAGCGTGCCTGACAAAGCCGTAGAGGGTGGGCAGGGCCAGATCATGTCTGCCTCGTAGGCGTTTGTCTTAGAATGAATGGGACGGCATGGAATGCTCTCAAAAGTGCAACAGTGACCCGATTCAGTTTTTATTTTTGAAAGTTCACTCTTTTAAAAATATACTAGTGTGAAGAGTGGGTTGGAGGTAAGCAAGAATGAGAATGTGAAAACCAGACAGGAGGCCCGTGAAGAAGTCTGGGCCAGAGATTGTCAAGCGTTAGTGGTTCATTGGTATTGTCAATGTGTGTGGATTTAGACCCCCGTGAGTTCCAGGGTTTCAAGAACCTGTAATAGTCCTGGTCAAGAAGAGCCTCAGATTTTATATGTAGGTATTAATATGTCCATTCTTATTGGAAATCCAAATGAACAAACCAATAATTTCAAGGATGGTTTCTAACCTTAATTATTTTTTTTACTATGGGAAGGATTTGCCTCCTTTTGCTTTGAACAGCTGGAGTAGCTCTGATAGGCTTCAAATAGGAGTTAATGTGCAGCACACACAGGCTTCTGTTAACACAGGATGCATGTTAAATAAAGCGAATATCTCTTAAATGATGGAAAATATCAAAAGCAAGAACTTAGGATTTCAGGGAAAGCACAGAGAACACAGCCTTTCTCAGAGTGGTCGCTTAACACGTGTCTGTGGATTAAATGGGATTAAACAGTGCACTGGTAACAGTAGCACACCTGACTCATAGGGTCGTTGTGAGATTAGGAATCATTTTGTGTGTTTGCGCACGTGCATGTGAAGTGCCCGGTAAACAGCAAACACCATGCAGATATTCACTGTTGTCTGAAATTATTTCATTCCTCTGCTTATTTTTGTATCATCAGTCTCTCTTCCCTAGAATGTAAGCTCTCTGGGGACAGGAACTTTGTGTCCCTAGCACTAGAGTGTCTCGTGGGATATCCCAGGCTTGCACTGGGTTGCTTTTGTTGGTAAATCAACGAAAGAGGAAAGTGACTCGCTCAACTTCTGTGTTGCCCATCCGCAACTTACAAACTCTGTTTGACATGTTGAATTTCTGTAGCTGAAAAGAGATTTGAAGAGTCTTGCTCCAGAGCAGAAGATAATTAGCTTTAAGATGTATTGGTCAGGTGTGGTGTCTCATGCTGTTAATCCCAGCACTTTGGGAGGCCAAGACAGGAGGATCACTTGAGGCCAGGAGTTCAAGACCAACCTGAGCAACATAGCCAGACCTCGTCTCTAGAAAAATAAGAAAAATTAGCCAGTGGTGACCTGTGCCTGTAGTCCTAGCTATTCAGGAAGCTGAGGTGGGAGGATCACTTGAGCTCAAGAGTTTGAGGCTATAGTGAATTATGATTACACCTCTGCATTTCAGCCTGTGTGACAAAGTGAGACCCTATCTCATTAAAAAAATAACATATATTATATATGTACATATATACATATACATACATATATATACATATGCATATATATGAGATAGTCCTTCGTGAGTAGATCCTGTGGTCTGAAATAGATGCAGCTGGGTGGTTGAGAGCCATTCACTGTCCTGTTTACTATCCTCACTTAATTTTTATCCCTTCCAGTGTCCTGTTGGATAAACGTTTTAGAGCTGAATGCAAGAATTACGGAGTCATCATTCCGTACCCACCGTCCAACCGCTATGAAACGCTGCTGAAACAGAGACACGTCCAGGTATGGTGACAGCAACCTACCGTGGAGATGGAACAGGCAGGAGAGATCAGAAATCAGGACTGGGCGCCGTCTGCCCTGCGTATATTGCCTAGTGTGGATTTCCGAGCACAGGCGTAGCACAGCTTCAGAATCTTGCAGATAACAGAGAGGCATCAGGCTCCCTTTGGTTCAAGTTCTAGGCTTCTCTACCCGTCTGCAGCTGACTCTTACAAGTAGTGGCCACCAAAGCCTAAGTCTTTTCATCACAAGCTGTGGCCCACTCTTTCAGTTGGAACTGCCACTCAGAGATGGGTAAATCTGTCCCTGAACGTGGCCCAAGTGCTGGTCGAAGTGAAGAAGGACCACAGCACCTTTGAAATGGAGCATGTCAGGTCAATCTCGGGGTAGAAATCGGTTTGTGTGTGTATGGAGTTGGTTTCTGTTAACATGTGGCCCCAGATGTAGAGGAAATGTTGCTGGGAGCTAAGAAACATATCCACAGTTTAAAAGGTTAATGTGAACCTGACAGAGAAAATCAGAGCTGCCCCAGCAGACTTTGAGCCCTCCTTCTGGGGCCCTGCTTTTGGCCAAGCTGCTGGCAAAATGGCCCTTATGCTGCAATGTCCGTGTGTCTCTTACGTGGTCATGGTGTGATGAAGGGGCAGGGCCGAGGCTGAGACGATGCCTTAGAAGAAACGGAAAGAGTGTCCCATGCTAGTAATCCCAGCACTTTGGGAGGCCAAGACAAGAGGATCACTTGAGGCCAGGAGTTCAAGACCAGCTCAAGCAACATAGCCAGACCTGGACACTCCCTTTGCTATGAGAAATCCAAGGGAAATGGAGTATTGTTAAGAGGGGGAAAAAGAAATCAGTTCTGCAAACAGCAGGGGCTCAATGAGAGCTTTTTCTTCAGCCTCTTAGAAGATTACTGTTATCAGTTCCGGCGCAGCCAGAATTAGCCGCAGGATATTAAAATACTGAGGGCTTTATGTGCGCACGCGATGGCTATAAGGGGCCCTAGTCGGTTGGTAGAAAATGTACCCCAAAAGGGAAGCAGGAAAAATAAAATAATTAAGAATAACCATTTGGCACCTAGCAGAGTGCCATGGACACAGCGGGTGGTACTCAATGAATGCTCACTGGTACCTGCATCGTGTCAGCAGTAATGCCCACGTGTGCCCCAGCGGAAAGGATCTTAAGCTATATTTTGCATCCTGTAATCAGTCCTTCATCCTGTGGCTTTTAAATTTTCCCCCATAAGGGCACAAAGTGGGCCCTTGCTGAGGTGGCTGCTGTTTCCTGGTGACTAAATTGAGCCATAGGCAAGATGCAGGCAGAACCCCAGGGCTCAAGTTAGGGTGTCAGCAGAGAGGCAGTTACAGGGATCTGGAGCCAGCCCTGAGCCTCTTCCCACAGCCTGAATGAATTGTGTTTTTCCTAAACTCTTTGGGTTTCAAGCCTATAGGGAAATTGAAAGAATATTACAATGAGCACTCGTCTGTCTGCCTTATAGCCAGATTTGTGGTTATTAATGTCTTGCCACATTTAGTTCACTTTCTCTTTCTCATGTGTCTATTTCATCTCACACACATATACAGTGTGTGTGCGCTCGTACACGTACTCTTTTTGTTAACCATTGAGAGTAAGTTGCAGATGCCATAAGACTTCACCCCCGAATGCCTCAGCCTGTATCTCCTAAGAGCAAGGACATTCTCTTACAAAATCAAAGTAGAATTATCATACCTAGGAAATGTAACAATGCTATTTTCTAAACACAGTCGCCCTATGTCCCAGTAATGTCCCTTTTAATTTTAATCCGGTCTCCTATCAGTGTATTGCATTTAGTTGTCAGGTGTCTGGGTGAATCTTGAGTGACTTCTCTCTCTCTCTTTCTTCCGTCCAGCTGCTGGGGAGATCAATTGACTTGAACAGACTTATCACCCAGCGCATTTCTGCCGCCATGTATAAATCCTTGGACCAGGCCATCAGCCGCTTCGAGAGCGAGGACCTGACCTCCATCGTGGTAAGAGCCTGGGGGCAGGTGGGATTTCTGCTCTGGGATTCCTCAAACCCGAGGGTTGTTGATCGTTTAGTGCCGGGTCAGTTAAAGAGAAGCAGTGAGTCTCTTTCCCATCTGAATGAAGCAGGGAAAAAAAAGACTTACACAAATGAGAGTAATCTTACCCTCCTGGTTGCCTGGGCGGTGGGAATGGAGGGGATCGCTAGAGATGGCGGACTGTCAGACACGGCTGCTTGTTCTTAGGATCCTGCAGAACCAGGCAAGTAGGTGAATGGTCCTAAGAAGCTAGGAAAGGTTACACAACAGGGTGGGCTTCATGGACATGCAGTAGTACGTGGCCCGGAAGGGCTCTGCAGCTGGCTCCATGCTCTGCTGTCACCAGCTTGAAATTCTTGATATTTTCTAACAAGAGGACCCCGCATTTTCATTATGCACCGTACCCTGCAAATTATGCAGCCAGTCCTGATGCACAAGCATGGAATAGGCCTGCTCCTTCCTCCTAGGAAACAGGGATTTAAAGTGCTCTCTGCTAATTCTAAGTATTAGAATAAACTTCGTTGGTCTTTAAGTGAATCAAAGAAAGAGTTGAATGCTTTCAAAAGCAGAAGAGTAGAAGGAATGGGATATGGAAAATCACCACTAGAACATAATGATAATTGTTGCAGGCAAGATCAATTGATGGATGTTAAAATTAATGGGCAGAACTTTGAGAAGAATGTTGAATGATTCCTCTTATATGAGGAATATAAGAGGAATCTGCAGTAGCAAATTCATAGAAACATATAAAAGCATGGTGGTTGCCAGGGAAAGGGAAGTTAGGGTTTAATGGATGGAGTTTCAGCTGGAGAAGATGAGGTTTAATTCCAGAGATGAGTGATGGTGACAGTTGTACAGCAGTGTGAATGTACTTTATGCCACAGTACTCTTAAAAATGGTTAAAATGAAAAAAATAAAATAAGATAAATGGTTAAAATGGTAAATTTTATGTGATATATATATCTTACCACAATGAAAAAAAATTAAAAAACAAAACAAAAACCTTTGAGAAGAAACATGACACTTGCATAGTCTCAAACTGTCTCTGTTGAGATATTTATTAACTACAAAGGGAGGAGTAGTAACTGTACAGTGGAGAAAACAGACACCATCTTAACCAAGTGTCAGGGTTAATGTCACCAGCAAGACACATTTCTGTTGCCATCATATATTTTTGCCAAAATGTACAATCTCAGTCTAAGTATGAGACAATACCAGGTGAACCCAAATTGAGTGCCATTCTAAAAAAGAAGAAGAAGTGAACAGTGTTTTTCAAAAGTGCCTGAGTCATGAGAGATAGGGAAAGACTAAGAACTTACAAATTAAAGAAGAATAAGGAAACATGTCAGCTAAATGCAACATGGAATCCTGAACTGAACCCTAGAACAGAAAAAGGACTTTAGTGGGACAACTGGTGAAACCTGAACGAAGCCTGTCATTCAGCTAGTAGCGTTGTACGGAAATTAACTTCCAGCTCTTGGTAATTGTAGTACCGTGTTTCCTGCTTCCCCAAAAATAAGACAGGGTCTTATATTTATTTTTCCTCAAGAAGACACCCTAGGGCTTATTTTTCAGGGGGTGTGTTACTGTTCTTAAGTGCAGTACAGCAATCTACATGTATTTAAATATAGTTAAGTCATTGTCTTCTGGAACATCATCATAACTCTCCAAACCCCGAATTCCATCCTGAATTTTTGCAACTCTATTTCCTTTAGAACCATTGGCCCCAATCTCTCATGTCTAGCAATAGAGCTCTCATGGGGCTGCTCGTCTTCTTTACAGCTCTGTAACGAAATGCACGGGTTGTGCAGATACGCTGTGTAGCCACGCCCATCACTAGGTCTTATTTTCGGGGTAGGGCTTATATTGTGTAAATGCTTAGAAATCCTGCTAGGGCTTATTTTATGGGTAGGTCTTATTTTCGGGGAAACACAATATGCTATGCCAGATGTTAGCATTGGGGAAGATGGGCAAAGGATATGTTGTTTTTACAACTTTTCTATACGTCTAAAATCATTTCAACATAAAACTTTTTAAGTGAACAAAGTGGTAAAAAAACAAAGTGACTGAGAACTGGAACGACAGACTCAGACAGGGGTTCCAGTCTCGATCCTGCCACTTACTAACTGGGTGATCTCGTGTAAGTTACTCACCTTCTCCAAGCTTGTTTCCTCATATCCGAAATGAAGGAAATATCAGAATCTACCTCATAGGGTTGTTTGTTTTGAGGATAAAATGAGATACTGCCTGGAGAGAGCCTTACAATGTTCCTTGTACCTAGTAAACACTTAGTATTAGCTATTAATAAATAATAGCTTAGTATTATCTATTGATAAATAATAGTTAAGTATTAGCTATTAATAAATAATAGCTTAATCTTAGCTATTAATAAATAAAGGCTTACTGTTAGCTATTAATAAATAAAAGCTTATGGAAGAAAGATGAGAGAAAAAGAGAAATTTGGGGCTGTAATGCAATGCCCTCAGGGTGAATTTTCAGCAACATTTCTTAGGACTTGACCTACCCTCCCACCTAAGTCCCGGGTCACTGATTTCAAGAGGCTACCATACAGTACACTTTCTTCTGGGAAATCATTTGGCTGCTTCTATTTTGAGAAATAGAGTTTTTTTTCTTTGTTTATGCCAAAATGTTAGCAGTGATTAGCTCCAAGTGGTAGGATTTTTGTTTTCTTCTTTTTTGTTCATCTGTATCTTCTAGTTTTCCAAGAATGGGTATATCTTACGGGAAAAAAAAAAATGATTTGGGGTGTGTGCATCTCCATGGCCTCTTCCCACCTTTCAAAAGGCACTGAATGTTCTCTTAGCTGGGAACAAAATCAAAACAAGCAAAGCCCTGATAAACAAATCAGGTGAGGGCAACGGCTCCCCGGAGAGCACCCTCTTCCTGGGAAGCCTTTGAAGAGGTGACCCCGGGGAAAGCACTCTCCTCTGGGCCAGGACGCCCTTGCTAGCCTTGGCTGGGAACTGTCTCTGCCTCCTCCAAAAACATACCGAGGAGTGTGCTGCCCCCACCCTTCCCTCCACCTTCACAGCGCCACGCTGACATGCAGCGACTTGATTCCGAGCTTGGAGGGGTCTCGGTCACCCTCGTTTTACACAGCTGAGCAACAGAGTCTCGGCACGATCTGATGCTGAATTGAAACCCCGGCAGGCTGTGTTTTTGCTCAGGCTGCAGAATGTATTTGTCGTTTTGAGCCAACGCTTAACATTTGGAAGAATTCAAATAAAACCGCAGAAGCTCCAGCAACACTACACCAGCATTCCCAGATGGCAGAGATTGCCTGGAAATGACTAGAAGTTCCTGTTAGGTGGACTGCGCTCTGCTTGGCTTGCTGCACGCCCCACAGTGGTGCTTCACTCACGCATGTAACCTTCCAGGCCTCGCTGTGCCTGAGTTTGAGACCCCTGCTCCTCTTACCTGCCCCAGGTCACAGAGCCGGTTGACGGTCGGATGTGGCTGACACTCAGCTCTTCTGAGTGTCATCGAAGAGCTCTTTCCCCTGCTTCTCTGAAGTTGCCCGCTTGGGTGTTTTATTTCCCCCGTTGTGCTTCTCTGTGTTGCTGTTTAGTAAACTCGCTTTACTGTGGAAGCTGAGATCCTCTTAGAAGGCACCTAAACTGCCCATGCAGCCTTTTAAACCTTTTCCAGCTGTGCCTTGGTGCACGGAGCCCCTGCGTCCAGCAGGCGAGCGCCCTCTTCTGACTTGAAGGCCAGAAGAAAAAACCCAAAATGTGATGCCAGATACAACTTGGATTGCATAATGTGGAGGAAGAAAGGGACCTATGGTTCTAGCAACCCCCACCTCTCCTTTGGTCTTTCCTGTAAATACTGCTACGCCCTTGTGAGACTGTTAAAGTCACAGAATGGGCCGGGCGCGGTGGTTCACGCCTGTAATCCTAGCTGTCCGGGAGGCCGAGGCGGGAAGATTTCTCAAGGTCAGGATTTCAAAACCAGCCTGAGTGAGACCCCATCTCTACTAAAAATAGAAAGAAATTAATTGGCCGACTAAAAATATATAGAAAAAATTAGCTGGGCATGGTGGTGCATGCCTGCAGTCCCAGCTACTCTGGAGGCTGAGGCAGGAGGATTGCTTGAGCCCAGGAGTTTGAGGTTGCTGTGAGCTAGGCTGACGCCACTGCACTCACCCTAGCCTGGGCAACAGAGTGAGACTCTGTCTTAAAAAATAAATAAATAAATAAAATCACAGAATGATGGAACAGAAATTGTTCCCAATTTGTCATGCACAGTTACCTTTGGTAACAGTGCACCACAGTGTGCCAGGGACTCAGTGATCTTAGAAATAAACTCATCAGTGTTTACTCCATTTTAATTGATTGATTTTATTTATGACCCATCCTAAGTGAATGGGAACAAGACACATTCCAGCTAGCTAGGCCACCCAGGAGACAGAAGCAGAAAGCTGGTTTGCTGTGTGTGCCCTTCATACACATCACGGTGCGTGATGACTAGAAATGTGTTCTTCTGGATGTCACTCCAGAGTTGAAATTCAGATTTTTGACCTTCTTTGGAAAGATTGCTGGATCTGCTGTCATTAACCCCCATTCCAATGTGGCAGCAGCCAGGTGGAATTTCAAAAGTAGTAGTTCCGCCTCTGTCAAGGGCCCTCGAACTTGCCACCGACAGCCCACCCCTGAGACTCCTCCTTGATGCCCCAGCTGCTCTCCCTTGCCTGACACGTCTGGTTTGCAAGGCTGCAACCTGTTCCTCGCCCTTACTTGAGAGCTACGGAGTCTGAGTTCCAGAAAGGCAGAGCTCTGAAAACTGGAAGCACGTGGTCTGAGGCCTCTGCCTTCCAGGACATCATCCAGGCTAATGGGGACTTTGTGGCTGATGAGAATGACATCGAATACCTGGTGGGAGGCTGCATCTGTTGCCATGGACAGCTTCGCTCCATGTCCCAGCCATTGCTGCTGGGACACCCCTGCCATCCACCTGGCCACATTCTACTGCCCTTGCAGCTGGTTTTTCAGCCTTTATAGTATTATATATAAAGCCATCTTTGCCTTTCAAAGGACTTCACTGCTCTCGTACCCTTATTCCAGAGAACTGTGTCACAGGGGCCAAGAACGCATGATTTGGAACCAGAGGACCTGCATTCACATCCCAAGCCATGTTATGTATTCCCTGTGCGACCTCGGGCAAGTTACTTACCCTTCTGGCCTCAGTTTCCCCCCTCTGTGAAACAGGGACATTTATATCTATCTCAAAAGGTGGCTTAACCAAAACAATGCAGGAGTGGCCTAGAGTGCCTTTGCTCTCCTTGCACGAGACTGTGCTTTGATTCTGTTTGATAGCAAGATCAAGACGTTGCAGGACAACAAAAGACCAAAGCGAGATGAAAGGGTTTCACTCTTATTTCATTTCTCAACAAAGGCAGTGTCTGTCTGTGTGCAGATATTATCCACTCTGGTCCCGGCTCTGCCTGAAGGTGAGATTCCAAACCATTAGGGTTCTCAGCGCCATAGACCCCTGGTCATCGTGGGTTGCAGACCACTTGCCCGTGGCTTGTAGCCACACTTTTCCTGACCCCTGTGTGACACTCGAGGGGCCTACAGTCCCAGGGAAGAAGCATTCTGCCCCTGCTGCTTTGGAAAATGTCTGTAGGAGTTATAGTACTCCGTGGTTAAAGATGCACTTCGGAGCCCAGTTTCCTGGATTAGAAGCCGAGTTACTTCGCAAAGCCTCAGTTTCTATGTGTGTAAAGTAAGGACAGCAGCGACACTGGCTTCAAAGGGGTCTGATGAGCATTCAGTGAATTAACATAATTGGCACGTATTAATTAGGTTGAACCATACGAAATTGCCAGTATCTGAAAGTGTTCTGCCTAAAAAAAAAAAAAAAAAAAACCTAGCAAAATTTCATATGGTTCAACCTAACAGTAAGTCTTTAATGAGTGGTAGCTGTTATTACTGCTTTCTGCAGGGTGGAGATACGGCCTCTGGTGCTGTGCAGTCACAGCTTGCTTTTACTTGTGACACTGAGGGACATGCATTTTCCTCACCAGAGCAGGAACTGGGAAGCAAGCAAGCGTGCTCTCTACCCAAAGGGGTGCAAAATGGGGTTTGCACACGGCCCGTCGTCTGCTTCCAGGGGGCAGACATGCAGCCCCCACCTTGCCCCCAGCACAGCCTGGCAGTTCCTCCCACGTCTCAGAAGAAAAGAGTGCTGTCAGATGGCACTGCGGGTCCTAGTCAGGAATTGGCTGAGGGGCTGTCACCTGCGTGGAAGGAACCAGTGAGACAAAGCGCACGCGTGTGAGGTCTGTGTGCACGTCCTCAGCGGCTGTGGGTCCTGTCTCTGGGCAGGAGCTGGAGTGGCTGCTGGAGATCAACCGGCTCACCCACCGGCTGCTCTGCAAGCACATGACGCTGGACAGCTTCGACGCCATGTTCCGGGAGGCCAATCACAACGTGTCTGCCCCCTACGGCCGGATCACTCTGCACGTCTTCTGGGAGCTGAACTTTGACTTTCTCCCCAACTACTGCTACAATGGCTCCACCAACCGGTAAGGGAGGGGCCTTTGCAGAGGGGCCTGGGGCTGGGTGGGGGCCCAGCACACGTGTCAGTTAGTTCCTGGGACAGGCATTGCTCGGAGACACCCCCCCCCTCCAGGTGCAGGTCCTGTTCTGCCTCTTAGAGCCTTCAGGCTAGAGGAGGATGCAGGTAACTGCACAATCGCAGAACACATGAGTGAATAGGAGGATGAAGGAAAGCCCACGGGGCTGGGAGAAAGGTAACAGCACCACCTGGCCCAGTCCTGGAAGTGATGTAAACCTCAGGGACGCTTCCTTCTCTGAGCGGGTGACGTTGGAGGTGAGATGCAAAGGATGAGTAGGAACAGATAAGGTGAAAAGGCAGGAGAAGAGTATGCCAGGCCTAGTTTCTAAGGAACAGAGAGGTTGCTGAGGGTAAAACTAGCGGGGTGGGGGATGGCGCCATGAAAGATGAAGCAGGAACAGACCGTGCAATACTCCGTAGGCCACCCGGGACCGTGCATTTGTGAACCCTGGAAAAAAGGTGGAGGAAGGGGAGTGACATGATCAGATTGTACATTTGTAACGACATCCACATATCTGATGCATGCATGCAAAACAGGCATACATTTGCAGAGCACGCATGTGCATGACAACGTGGAACTTGCCTCTGGCAACGTGCACATGGGCCTGGGCCGGGCACCCAGGTAGAGACAACACCTAATTCCTTTGTCCCTGCAGAAGTCCATAACCTGGTGGAAGAGGTAAGACATGTTTTCACATACAAAACAAGTACATCAGGATGCAACAAAATATATGCATCATGCAGGTCCTCAGCGTCTCCAAGGTTCGGCCCTGGGCCAGTGGTAAATGAGTTTGTGTTGAATGGATGGAAGGATACAGGAACAATCCACAAATGCTCCTCAGTCCACACACAGAACAAAATTCACTTCTAGTAAATCTGTAAAGATTTAGGATTTTTTTAACACTTTTGAGCAGGGAGCAGCAAACTGCAGGCCGTATCTGGTTGCCAACAGTTTTTGATCAGCCCACAAGCTGAGAGTGGTATTGACATTTCTGGATGTTGGGAGGGGGGGGAAGGGTGGGAATCGAAAGCATAATATTTGGTGACAAGCGAAAATAATCTGAAATTCGTTAAGTTTTACCAGAACTTGGTAATGCTGTTTTGTTTATTATTGTCTTTGAGCACTTCCATGCTACGACAGCAGAGTTGAGTACTTGTGACAGAGACCATCTGGCTTGCAAGGCTGAAAATAGTGGCTGCCTGGCTCTTTAGAGAAAGGGTTTGCTGAACCCTGCTGCCTGAGAAAGCAAACTGGAGGTGGAGGGAGGGCTGGGGCTGTTTTCAAGCCCAGCCCATGGTCACTTTCTTGCCTACTAGTGTCCTCTGCAGCCACAAGCCCCAAGTCAAGACTGGGAACCTGGGCTGCAGTTCTCCCATGGGTGGAAAGGAGACAGTAAATGAATGGGAGTTTGTCAGAAGATCTTAGTCCCTTTATAGGCGGCCACCTAAGAAACTGAGGTTGTTATCCATGTCCCATGAAGAGTAATGCTAAGACCACCCCGTTAACTCCATCCCCGTCTCTTTTCTTCTGCTAGCTTTGTCCGGACTGCCATTCCTTTCACCCAAGAACCACAACGAGACAAACCCGCCAACGTCCAGCCTTATTACCTCTATGGGTCCAAGGTAAGGAGCCCTGCCCTGTCCTACTTACAAGCAGCTAGAGGAGCGTCCCCCGAATCAGAGCAGTGAGAAGGCGTGGAGATGCAGGCAGCAGTGAGCCCCAGGCAGAAACACCTGCGAGTGTATTCATCTTTGTTTGTTCACAGCTAACAGGAATGGGGCTGAAAGCAGACATGGAGGGGGGCGGGGTGCTGAGCAGGGTCAGTTAGGTGAGGATGTCACTAAAGCAGGCAGGGACATGGGGATGGGGGGGAGGGGTTTCTCACTTGGCTTCGCAGCTCCTGCTGTTTCTCAGCGGATTCTTCGCAGTGTCACCCTGTGATGCTGGGACTTTGTGCTCCGTGAGTGTAAGAGGGCACTTGGAAGGTCGTAGGATGATGCAGGGACAATACAGGTGTCTCTGTACAGCCAACCTGGTCACGGTGATTTCTCAAACCGAGGGAAGGAAGCTCACGGACAGCATTTGGAGAGGTTCACACACGTGGCATTAACTAACATTGACTCATAAAGTAAAAACAGCACCTCCCTTTTCAAATCCTCTTTTAAATCTCATGGTACATGAAGGAGAAAGACTTACATTCATGCCAGTGTGTCTTTAATCCCTCTCCAACGCTGGTGGATGTCCCTTTCTATCAAAGACAAGAGAGCAGGCCTAACTCAGGGTCATCGGCAGACAATAAGCAGCTAAGTCAAATTTAACATTATTTTGTTTTTATTATATTTATTCTTATGTCTCTTCCCTACTGTTTATAGCAGGAGGGTGCTGGGTTTTCACTTATGGAGTGATACAAGGCTATCTTTGAAAATAAGTTTAGGGAATGAGTCAATTTAAAGAAAAGTGTTGTTAATAATAGTCAAGATAGTCTGTGGTTTTAAAAAAAAAATATGGAGATGGGATGTGAGGTGGTGTGCGATTGCCTAAAAACTGGAAAACACTCCAGATCAAGGCTTCTGTCACTTTCCCAAAGAATCTGCCCAGCGGCAGAGGAGACAGGACGTCTGCCTCAGCCGCCTGACCGTGTACCTCGGACAGCCCACCTGCAACTCAAAAATGTCTTTCCAGTCTTGTGTTGCATTTAAGTCATGCAAATTTTTATTTTCTACTCTGTAATATATCCATGCGTGCTTTGATGTTTAAATAATGCCTTCAGTTCTTAACTGGGCTCCCCCTAAATGGACACTGCTGAAGAGATGCTTATTTGTCCCTGGCACACCCTGGGTGGGTACATTTTCCAGCTCGAGAGCTGTGTCGCCGGGCATCTGTCCGACTCAGGCGATCCAAAGTAGCACTGACATTTGACAGGAGAGAAGCGGGTGGCGTATAGACACATTTTTACAAAAGACCTACTGCATGGAGGGCTTTAGGCTGCATGGTGCGGGCCATCTCCTCTTCCGCTCACTCCCCGGGACGGGGCAGTGCGGCTGGGTGGTCAGTGCCCTCCCGCTGTAAGTCCCCCGCGTCGGGGGCATCCTGGTCCGTGGCGGCTTCTGGCACAGCTTCAGCTCCGGAGTTCTTGCGCGGCATCTCCATCAGGGGCAGCCCCGGCTGGTCTTCCTCCCTCTGCCCGAGAGCGGGCACCTCCTCTGGCCACCGCACCAGCCCGTTGGCTTCCTCCATGTGGCCGGCTCTGTAAGACCACCGAGGCTCGTGGCAACGGATGCACCAGAACTGGAGGCAGATGAAGGCCAGGACAGCCGTGAAGCAGGCCAGCAGGATGGCCATCAGCACCCACAGCGAGACCTGGGGGTCCACCAGGGAGCCCCCGGCAGCCAGCGGACTCTTATCCAGGGTGTGGAACATGGTGCAGTAGTGCCAGTAGGGAAGAACGGCCTTCTTACAGCTGATGCACAGGAAGTAGAGCGTGGAAGGGGCGAGGTGCTCCAGCGCCACGGAGCTGATGGTTCGAGGCACCTTCTCCTCGTGGTGGAAGCTGTAGCGAAGATAGCCGGAGAAGATGCTGTTCCAGTTGGGCCTGTACATAATATGGTAATAGTCCTCCAGGCAGGGCTCCGGGGACGACCAGGAGATGATGGCTCCCGTGTAAGAAACGTTCCCAACCTTGATGTTCATCCCGATTCTGGAATCAAAGTGAAGAGTGACATCCCCGCTATTTCGGTATTATTTATCATAATCATAGCCACCGTTTATCGAGCATTTTCGACGGATGCCGATATCGTCCTCATTTTACAGACACATAAATAGAGGTTGAGCGGTGACATTACTTAGCTAGGCATAGGCCAAGAAGTGTCAGGACAGACCTGCAAACTGGGGCTGTCCCTTCCCAAAGCTGCTGGCCTTAGGGCCTAAGAAAAGATACACCTCTGTAACCCCAGCCGCGTCCCACCCTGGCCGAGATCTGTGGATATAAGATCTTTAGATACATTGTTCTCATCCTCTTAAAAAAAAAAAAAGAGGAAGAAAAAGTAATAAAAAGAGAAATCCGTAGAACCTTAGAGGCTCCACCGTAGTCGTCATAGGATCAAGCCATTGTGTATTAAGCCATTGATACACCTAACATTTCCCTTCTTCACCTCCTGCATCTGCCCCATGTGCTGTGAGCTCATTGATCTAGAACATTCTGCCCACTGCTTTCTTTTAGCCTCCCAGTTCAGTTGCCCATGGTGAGCAGAGATTTACTGTGTCACTCATTGGCAGCTGATTTTGCCCCAGAGCCTCTGCTCATGTTTTATTATTTTTTCAAAGCCAAAGGTACCGGGTAATTAGTTACATCAGTCAAGATGGTAACAGCAGTTAATGACGACTATTCAATACAACTGGAGTCATGGGTGTTAATCATGGGCATAATCACTGACAGCCAGTGAGCAGGTGCTGTGTCATGGGTCACTCTGGGTGATTCACATACAGTGACAGATTTCCTTTATTCTTCATCCCACTCTCGGAGCTAGATTCCCATTCTACAGATGAGCAACCCGAGGTCATGCAGCTCATGCGTAGAAAGGAGCCTCAAAGCCGCTTAACCGCTGCACTTGCGAGTGCAAGGCTGCTGGATTTCATAATGGAGCGTTACTGCACAACGAGGTGCCAGTCCTGAGACCCAGTTGCTGCTTTTCCAGACAGATCAAACAAGCCCTCTTCAGATGGCCAGCTCCTGCTTTGGCAAGAGAGAGCCATCTTCGAGTATCTTCGTTTCTCTTTTATCTGGGAGATATAGTCTCCCCTACCCCCACTTATTTCCCCCGATCAAACACCCAGGGACAGCCATCGTCAACCTGTGTACGTTCACTTACGAGTCTCACCCTACCTTGTCATCCGCCCTCCTCTCTGACACGAAACACAAGGTTTCATTTTACATTGCAGCGACATAGTGAAAAAGCAGTCAATGGGATTGTAGCCTGAATTGGCTGTGAGGCCAAACTGATTTCCATTACAACCCGCCATCCTCTCTCCCTTGCACCCCCTCCCTCCTGGTGCTGTACCCATATTCCTGTGGGGCTGAGCTGCAGAGAGACTCACAGCACCGAGGACCCTCAATCCTTGTTTTTCCTCTCTAAGGATGCCAGTGAATTAGGATGCTCGGGAAAGGGAGTATTTCCTTTGCATTTTGCCGGAAATTTCTTCCCACAAAATGGGGACTGAAAAGGATGAGACAGGTGTGCTCAGATCCTCCCAGGAAGGTCATGGTGAAGGAGACTGTCGGTCTGTGCTCCTTCCTTGGTCTCCTCGCACACACTCACCTTCCCCACCCCAGCTCCCCACACGGCCCTATAAAACACTTCCGACCGCAGTGGCGACAGCTTAATTCATTACTTATGATACAGAGGCAGCCACCTTTGCAAGACCTTCCATCAGGAGTGATCAGGGATCCTGTTTCTTGTCACGCACAAATCTGTTCTTCTGTTCACCTTGTGTCTGCCCTTGGCTGCCTTTACAGACTGAATTCCCTGCAGCAGACATGTTTAAGAGCTTTCAGCATCCTAAGATTTTAGGACCAAATCCACCTCCCTTATTTGTTTTTCTTCCTCTGTTTTCTGTTTCTAAATTCCCCCCATTTTTAGCTATTCATTTACCATTGCCTGGCCCTTCTCCAAGCGGAGTGTGAAAGAAACAGCCATTTGCATTTTCTGAGAAGAGCCATCCTCCTATCTTACCTGATGCTTGCGGCGTATCTGGTGAGATCCCTGCTCTCAGGCAGAGTAGACGAAAGGCGGGAGGATAGTGCCTTCTTCCTCCTCCGCTCTGGACTCTCCTGGATGCCTCTCTCACCACTGAGTAATCCCACTGTCGCCCCCAGCGCTCACATTATTTATTTCTACGGATCAGCATCATTCACCATGGCAACCAGCAGGCATCTGTATGCACGATGCTTTCAGGGACCAGTCTGGAAAGGCTTTTGCCCAGTGAGAGGAGCTCTCACTGCTTTTGCCAAAAACAGGCAAACAGTCTCCTGCAAAACAATCCATAGTGTATGGTACTGATTCTTCTGACACTCTGAATATTCTGGCTAATTGGCTTGTTATCTACCATTTTCTCACCCCATCTAGATCCTCTTTGGACAGTGGTTTCAAATGCAAAGATTCCCTTCTCAGTCATTCTGCACTCAAAACAATAACATTCACCCTCATTCCCGCCCAAGCCCATACCCCCACCCCCTCACCGCCTCCTACCCTACCTCTGTATCTTTTTCTTTCTTTATTCTTGTCTTCCATGGCATGACCTAGTTATATGGCACTGGTCAAGACCCTTTTATTGTCTGAACCTCAGTTCTATCATCTCTAAAGCTGTGGGCTCGGGCTAGGTGGGGATGGCAGGTAGAAGACATGAGCATTATCCCTGCAACCTGTGTCAAGCTTGTACTGGGTTGAATAATGTACCCCTAAAATATGTGTTCACTCAGAATGTGACCTGATTTAGAAATAGAGTCTTTGTAGATATAATTAGTGAAGGATCTCAAGATAAAATCATCCTGGATTTAGGGTGAGCCCTAAATTCAACAATTGGTGTCTCAAAAGAGGAAGGAGAAGGAAGAGTTATACACGGAGAGACAGGAAGGGAAGAAGTTGGGTGAAGTCAGAGGCAGAGATTGGAGTGACGCTGCCATGAGCCAGGGAAGCCCAGGAGCCACCAGAAGCTGGAAAGGTGGAAGGAAGGATTCACCCCCTGGAGCCTTGGGAGGGAGTGTGGCCCAGCTAGAGCCTTGATTTCAGGCTTCTGGTCTCCAGAACTGTGAGAGAACACAAATTTCTGTCATTTTAAACTGCCACGTATTCATGATAATCTGTCACGGCAGCCCCAGGAGTCTAACGTGGCCCTCCTCCCCACTGAGCTCAGAAACAGCCCAGGCGTCCCAAGAAACTGCCCTACCAGTCAGCCAGCCACGCTGCCACCGGAAGTGGAGACTGTCTCCGCTTCCTGGATGGGGGATGGTCCCCAGCGTTCCTTCCGAGAATCCAGACTGCTTCCCTGCCCTCCTCCATTCCCATGAAGGACTGTCTCCCTCTGAGCTTCCTTCCCTTCCTGGCCCCCTCAGCCTTAGAAGAAAACATGGCCACCATTCTGTTGAGGACATCCCAGAGCTTGTCTGAAACAGAGGATGGAAAGTAGCTCGCGTGGATTTAGACATGGGCCATTTTACGCAAATTGTTTTTAAAACTTACTGCTTTTCATTCTTGGGTCTTGGCCACAGTATTCTAAGTGAATCCACGAAGATCTCCTTGGGGTTCACATCAGTAATAATCAAACACAGCCGGGCGCGGCTCACGCCTGTAATCCTAGCACTCTGGGAGGCCAAGGTGGGTGGATTGCTTGAGGTCAGGAGTTCGAAACCAGCCTGAGCAAGAGCAAGACCCCGTCTCTACTATAAATAGAAAGAAATTAATTGGCCAACTAATATATATATAAATAAAAAACAGCCAGGCATGGTGGCTCGTGCCTGTAGTCCCAGCTACTCAGGAGGCTGAGGCAGGAGGATCACTTGAGCCCAGGAGATTGAGGTTGCTGTGAGCTAGGCTGATGCCACGGCACTCACTCTAGCCTGAGCAAGAAAGTGAGATTCTGTCTCCAAAAAACCAAAAAAGTAATAATCAAACACGACCCTTCCCCTGGCCAGGGGTCTCCGGGAGGCAAGGAGTCTTGGGACATCCATGTTCCTTGATCAGACTGTGGCTTGTGGCTTTCCCGTGGCATTCCACCTTCCCAGGGGCCTGTCTTCCGCCTGCCATGGTGCCTACCGCGTGTCTCTTCCCAAATGCGGACGGCGACTCCCCGCAGAGAATGAAAGCGTCCTCCCCACAGAAAGGCCCGTGCAGTGGTCTGCAGGTGCCTTTTGCAAAGGTTATTTTCAGGGGAATAAAAATACCGGAGTGAGGGGGCCTGAGGAGAGGGGGACAAGGTAGAACTCCAGCCTTTTTCCACAGGGAAAAAATGGGAAGTTATTTTTAACGTTCCTGGATGGCATTTTTAACTGTGAGGTTTTTATTTGTGGAATTAAGACGGTCCAAGAATGTGAGGCCTAGAAGCCCTCGTTTCATAGTCCCAAGAGAATACATGACATTCTTCAAGCCGCTTGACTGATCAGTGGCAGAGCTGGGCGTGGAAACTGGGTCCAGAGTTTGTCCCGCTCCTCTGAGCTGTCACCCCTCTCGAGCAGCCCCAGAGGAGCCAGTGCGGCCTTTAGGGATGGGATAAGGTGTCTGGGGACACCTGCCCCAGGAGATAACACCCCAGCCGAGCTCGCTCACTCTCCAGCGGGGACTACCCTTCCACGGTGTATCCACGTAGCTGCCTCAGCTGGCAAGCCAGGAGGGGCCCCCAGGAGTGGAAACCAGTAGTAAATTACTGCTAGAGGAAATCGGCCAAGAGCGGGGGCCCTGTACCTTTTCTGAAGGCTTGAGGGCATGCCTCAGTCCCAAAGCTGGGTCGGCATCCAGGGAAGTGAGTGGCTCAGATCAGAGCGGGTTCACATCCTAACTGGGTGGCCTTGGACACATTCCCTCACTTTTCTGTGCCTTGGTTTACTCTTCTGTAAAATGGAAATATCGTAATACGTGGCTTACGGTGTTGTTATATCAGTGAGATGAAGCCATGTCTGCAGAGTGCCAGGCTTAGGAATGGTAGCTATCGTAATTAAGAAAAGGCCAGTGTATCAGAGCCGGCTCCTAAGTTGGTCATAGCTTCCTCCTGAGGTTATAATGAGCAGGATTTGCACCCTACATTGCATTGTACTTCCTTGCTTTTTTTGCCCTTAAGTCAGCCTTATTGGTTTTATTTTTTTTTTAATGTATATCCTCATTGTACGTAACTTAACCCTTTGCACTCGGATGCCGAGTGTGACTCGACTCGGTTAGCGAAAATTATAGAGATTAAAATTACTCTTTGAATGTATTGATAATTTGAAATATAAAAAAATCCAAATAAATAAGTTTGTATGAAAAGAAACTCCAGTTTTTTATTCTACTGCCGCACTTTGTAAAATCTGGGGTATTTAAAAAATTAAATCCCGAGTAGAATAAAGGAATCGAGAAAAAAACAAGCGAGTGCAAAGGGTTAAAGAATATAAAAGAGTTCAAAGATGACAGTAAAACTCATACACAACCCAGAAACAACCAATGGTAACTTTTTGGTGCATTTTACACGTGTTTGCTCATTTTACCCTCACCCATACAACTCTTTGAGATTGGACAGAGGGAGAGATTGCAGCTCAGTGGGGCTGCCTGACTTGACCCAGTCACAAAGATGGGTCGTGGCAGAGCAGGGCTTTAATCCTGGGTCTGTTGGTCACTAGAGCCTGAGCTCCAGGCTGGCCTCTTTGACGCACTGCTATTCTGCATGTGCCATCTTGCAACGTGTCTTTCCCTAGTCCACAACATCTCTTTGCTTTGAGGTTAGCTTCTCTTGAGAGGTAGAGACAGGATTTCATAGTATAGTAGACTCTAGAAGGATGGGAACGGAATAGACTCCAAAGAACTAAAAGGCTTTGCAGAGAACATCCAACCACCTGATTACTAGCATCAGGGAAAACGTCAACTTGTTTGAAGAAATACAGCCCACAAGCATCTCTTTTTCTGAACGTCCCCTGTTCTGGAGCCCAAGTACACCTGCCCAAGAGCTCTGTTGCTTAGGGGAGATGTTAAATGTTAAAAAAAAAAAGAAAAGAAACTTTAACAACTGGTCTAGTAATCAAAATTAATGTATGAATTGAAACTGTAAAAATAGATTCTCTAAGTACATAGAGTCTTATCCTAAAACTCTCTTCCAAGTGATACATTAATAGATTGTGGCATAAATGATTCATTCAATCACTCCAGTAATTTCCCAATAATTTTTTGGCCTTTAGGAATTGTTGGTGTGATCTTTTGTTTAGCATGGTCATCACTAGCTAAATGGTGGCCCTATCTGAGTGACGGTCTGAGCTCAGGGAAATTCATGATACTCTTGCCGTGCCTTCCCAGGCAAGGTCCTAGTCCTTAGGTCCTACAACCCAGTGCTTTGCTGCAGCAAGCTGGGCACCTCCCTACATGCTAACACACTCCCCATGTGGGCTGACTGGGGGACTTTCTCTTGGCCCCTATGACACCACCAGTAGCACCCTCTTTCCTGCCTCCACCTCACCTTGTTGTCTGCATGGTACCATGATCAGATATTTACCCACCAGTCCAGAGGCTTTTGTTCTTTCTGGCAACTGGTACATGTGGCAGAATTTCATCTTGTGTCTCACCTTCAAGTCACTTCATTTCACCTGGGCTTTCAGATTCCTCCCTTGCTAAATGGAGGTCATGGTACTACCTGACCTGGTGAGACCTGGCAGGCTGGGAATGATCCCCAGAGATGTCGATTCCTAATCCTGGAAGCTGTATTTGTAACTTGCTTTGGAAAAGGTCTTTGTAGATGTGACTAAGTGAGGGTTCTTAATGTGGGAAGATGATTCTGGATTATCAAGGTGGGTCCTAAATGCCAGCACAAGTGTCATAAGAGAGAAACAAAGGGAGGTTACATGCGTAAGGGGAGAAGGCAGAGAGGTGTGAAGAGCGGAGTGGTGCAGCCACAAGCCAAGGGGTGCTGGAGCCACCGCTAGCTGGGAGAGGCAAGGGACAGATTCTCCCCTGGAGCCTCTGGAGGGAGTGTGGCCCAGCCAACACCTTGATTTTGTCCCAGTGATAACTGATTTTAGATTTATGGCTTCCAGAAGTATGAGAAAATATGTTTCTGTTGTTTTAAGCCACCAGATTTTGTCATAATTTCTTACAGCCACAGAAAACTACATGGGCAGTTAGGAAGGAATTAATGGGCGAAAACCATTCACTGAGAAGCATTATATACGCGTGTGTCATGATATGGGTACTGATTATAAAGAAAAATGGTGACACTGGTTTCCTTAAAAAATGTTAGCATCTCTTGGCCGGGCACAGTGGCTCATGCCTGTAATCCCAGCACTCTGGGAGGCTGAGGTGGGAGGATCGCTCAAGGTCAGGAGTTCGAAACCAGCCTGAGCAAGAGCGAGACCCTGTCTCTACTAAAAATAGAAAGAAATTAATTGGCCAACTAAAAATATATATAGAAAAAATTAGCCGGGCATGGTGGCATGTGCCTGTAGTCTCAGTTACTCGGGAGGCTGAGGCAGAAGGATCGCTTGAGCACAGGAGTTTGAGGTTGCTGTGAGCTAGGCTGACGCCACAGCACTCACTCTAGCCAGGGCAACAGAGTGAGACTCTGTCTCAAAAAAAAAAAAAAATGTTTGCACCTCTAATATAGTGTTGAAACGATACCTCAGAACTGGAAGGCTTGGTTCTTGTTCACCCTCTTGACTTTTCCAAAGTACTTTATTCATGGTTTAAGAAAGAGCATCATTTCTTGAGATCTCTATAGCAACTCCCTTGGATTCTTCAGCCTCTGAGCTGAGAAGGCCAAGAAGGAACCCAGATGTTGGACACCCAGCCCTACAGGTCTCCAAATGTCAAAAAGGGACAGACACATCAGTTTTATCCAAGCTCTAGCAATGGATCTAAACTTGTAACTGAGGACTGATCAGTCCTTTGAACGATGCTCTGTGACCTTCCAGATAAGAGCGGTGTTGCTGTTTTATTCATTTACCCCCCACCCTCCCCTCACGTTCCCTTCATTTACCTGCAGTGATTTGAGAGAGTTGAGCTGCAGCTCTCCGGCCTGAATTAGAGAACTGTGTTTGTGTTTGTGGTCTGATGGTGCTCATTAGAGAAATTGTAATGAAAACAGGAAATTAGAAACAGTTTAATTCCTCTTGGGATTTCTGAAAACAGCAATTGAGATTCCAGAAAGCAGCGATGCAAATTGCTTACAAATACAGATTGCCAAATAAATAGGCCTCGCTGTTTGGAGTGATTGGCCGTGTTTACCATTTGGTGAGAGAGAGAGGCCTTATGATTTAAATCTATATGTAACATTTGAAATGATTAAAGTGCTAGATTTAACGTTGTGTATATTTTACCATAATTTTTAAAAAGTCCATCTACAGATAATATTACAGGATCTGGCAGATCAAACTCATTGTATTTTTTCTCTCCTAAAAATACTGTTTTGCTTTGTTTAGAAAATGCAGGTCTGTGTCATACAGTAATGACATGCCTTTAATTCCTGAATCAGGTTTGTTTATTTCTTGAAATCTCCTGAAGTTGCCTATTTTGTGTAGTGTGGATTTAACAGCTTGATTTTACGTGAGCCATCCAAAACAGATAGGATGCATAATTAGTTTCCTGTTAGGTCCGTTGGTTGTAACCTGAGTCAGTTAGCAGTATTGGTTCAGTGTAAGAGATTTGTGGCAAGTTTCCAATGTCTCAAGTCATGTTGCCTTCCTGTTTTTCTTTGCCAAACCTCAGAAAATGCCCAGGCTCCCCTATTCCCACATTTTCTCAGTAGGGCCAAGCCTCCTCTTGAGCCAGCAGGTCAGAAGATTGCCCTCCGGGGGTGCGTGTGCATGTGCTTTTCCGCATGCGTGTGCGTTTCCTCTTGCATGCGTGTGGTGGTATTTGGGGGAATAAGGGGTGGGGGGCAGCTTGTTCACTTGGAAGGAGAATTTGAGTTCTCCTTATTTCATGCGAGTTCTTCCTGCATGAAATGCAGCTTGGACCATCCCCTGAGGCATAGACTTCCGGTGTAGGCCAGAATGCAAGATTGACGTGGGAACGTCAACTGGAGGCCTCCTAAGTGCACCCAGTGGGTCTGTATTTTAAAACCCTTGTGCGGTAAAACGATTGCAAAATTACTCTCTTCCTCTGCCTAGAACTGGGCAAGCCTGTTGAACAGTTTTCCATAGATGCGAACATACATTTGTTTGTGCTCGCCAGGAAGTATTAAGGGAGGCTTGGTACTAGGCGCTCCTGGGGTGGGGGTGAGGGCTTAGGAGACTGCTAAGGAGGGTGAGCATCCAGCAGAGAGCACTGGGACTCGAGCCTCTGGAGGGAGCATCAGAACACGTCTGTCTCCACCTCCATTCTGTCACCTGCAGCGAGGAGGGCCCCTGCCCAGCACTGCTTGTTGCTGGGCATCTCTCATTTTTATGATGATGATCTTAATAGCGAGCAAAATGTGCATTTTTTGGTGCCTTCCATCAGCTGGTCCTAGCACTGACCTCTGTCATATCCCTCTGTGGGATACGCACCATGTTATAGAAAATTATACCTTCGATATGCATTCCCCTTGCCATGGAATCGTAGCTATAGCTGTAGCCAAAGCCACTGGGGGAAATTTTCCCAGGAAGCTGTATTTTCTTAGTCTTTACTTACCAAGTTACTAAACAAAGTAATATTAATGGCTATTATTTCAGTGGGTGCTTCCATGCCGAGTGCTGTACACATGTTCTATAACTTTTAAACCGTTAACAACCCTATTAGATTTGGTGTTATCTTTACTTAGGGGAAACCAAGGCTTAGAGGGTTTAAGTAATTTGACAAGAGCATCTAGCTAGGACAGTTTATGGGCTTGCAGTTTGGTGGTGTGCACATTCATGTGTGCCCACCCCAAGAGCCCATCCTCTAAACTGAGACAGAGCTAGAAAAGAAGTCGGAGAATAAGACAGGAAAAAAAAATAATAAGTAGCTGATTGCTTTTTGTCCTCTCCAGAGAGATCCATTTGAAAGCTGCCTGCTACTCAAAAAATTCCTTTCATAGGATACTTGAAGAGAGGACAAAGGAGAATGTGCTAAGGGCTTTACTGGGTTTGCAGGAGAAGCCCAGGGTCCCTGGTATGTGGGGATGACAAGGCCATTTGGACAGTCCACGGGCTCCATCTCATGCTCCCAGGCTGTGAGCACAGCCAGGCCATTCATTGTCCCTCGTGCCTGTGTAGGCTTGAGCTGTGGCCCCCTCCAGGAGAAAGGTCAAAACATGGTTCTGCTTTTTGTAGTCTTTGAAAACAACGTTGAGAATTTCATTAGGCAGTGACATGGCCCAGTGGGGGTTTTTACTTTTTTTATTGAGTTGTACTCATATAGGGGGAAAGGCACTATCTTTGTCTGTCGTGTCATAACAAGAATACCATAGACTGGGTGACTCAAACAACAAGCACGTATTTCTCACAGTTTTAAAGGTTGAGAAGTCCAAGATCAAGGTGCCAGCAGCTCTGGCAACTGGTGGGGACCCACTTGCTGGTGTGCAGGTGGCCATCTTTCCATATCCTGCCCCCTCCTCCACGCCAGAGAGGAGAGAGACAGCGAGCTCTCTTGTCTTCTTAGGAGGGAGATGATCCCACTCACGGGGGCTCCACTCTCATGACTAACCACCTCTCGGAGGCCCCACCTCCTAATCCCATGACACTGGGGGCGAGGATATCAACACACAGATTTGGGAGGGACACACCCATTCGGTCCATATGGCACAGATCATAACTGCACACACAGTCGTAGGAATTTTGACAAACACATCTACATAGTCAACAACTCAAGATACAGAGCTTATCCACCACCCAGGAAAGTTCTCTCGTGCCCCTCCAGACAGTCTTGGCCCACCAGAGGAAAGCCGTGGTTTGTCTGATGTCTGCCATGTAGTCCTCAGCTCTGGAGTGGGAAACAGGGGAATGGAACTTCGATAACAGGGCCAGAACTGAGCCGCACTCACTGTGCAGAGAAAGCGCCTCCTAGCCTTTATTCATCCTACAGGCCTCTCTCGTCCCAGCCCTGTTCAACAGGGTGGCCTGTAACAGAGGCATTAAAATAGATTTTCTTCCCCACAGAAAAAAAATGACACAGCCTGGCCACATGGGTGGCTAAATCAGACTCAGCAAGTCATACGCTTCCAGGATTTGCTGACCATGAACAGCAGTGAGCATTTATACTTTTAAGTCAGTTATAGTTCCCTCCCTACATAAACCATTCCTGGCCCATACATTTGTAAACTACATAAAATATGTCCCTCCCTAGGTTCAGGCAAAGTTTAATGTGACAGCTACTCAGTATTGCGTACAGAACGCTGCTCTTTCTCACACGCCAAACCTCCCAATGTGTAGTCATGAGTTTCACCAAACAATTATGCTTGGTGAATGAGTGGGTGTTCTAATTCCTCACGAATCCTTGTTATTAGTGGGAACTCTAATTGTGTTCTTCGTGTCTCCTTGTTATTAGCACGTACTCTAATTGTGATGCTTGTTTTGTGAAGCTTAGAGTAATTTGTATATAGTACAACATACTTAACTCAAAACTTAGACTGAACAGATTTAAATCTTCCCTGGATGGCTCCAAAGGGAGTTGAGAATCTTGCAGTCCTCCAAAAGCATCATTATAATTCCTATTGAATTCATGTAGAATTTCTAATTAGCCAACTCAATAGAGAATTTCAGTGAACGGACTATCAGATGTGGTCTTCCCATATTTGCATGTGCCATGTACAATATTTTTACAATTCCAGGTGGGAAAACTATACTCAGAACTAAGTTTTGAATTGAAACCTTATCTAAAAATTTTTGGGTGGTTTTTTTTAGGATTTGGCTTTCCAAGTTTTCCCTTTTTGGTTGGGGCCGGGGTTTTGGATTCGGTTTTCCTTGTTTGGGTTCGGGGTTCGTTTTTTTCCAACTTTTTTGCCTTGGGGCAGGTTCTTTCCCCCCTTGGGCTTCGTTTTCTTCTTTTTTGTTTTGGGGTTAAAATTGTTCGTTTTCCGGAGGTTTTGTTTTTTGGTTTAATTGGGATTGCGGTTGGGGGGTTTCCCGGCTTGGCTTGGGTTGCCCCTTAGTTGCTGGGTTTTCGGAACCGGGGCTTTCAGTTGGTTGTTACTTTTTTCCCCACCCAGTTGGGCTCGTTTTGGGGCCTTTTTTTTTGTTCTTTTTTTTTCGGCCGGGGTTTTTAAGGGGTTCCTTTTATTTTGTTTGGGTTTTTTCTTGGGTTCCGGGGGCAGTGGTGGCAGCTGATCAGTGGCCAGGGCTCTGGGCCCCCAGCCCAAACACCTCCACGACATCTCCCACAGACTGTTGCTCTCAAAGTCGTGAAACCACTGATTTAATCCAGCCCCCCCATTTCCTACATGCAGCAACTGAGGCTCAGAAGCCTAAGTGATTGTCCCGTGTGCTCAGCAGGGGTCTTCACTGTGTCACAGATGCAAACGACTAACAGTAGAAGAAAGAAGAGGACGTTGACCCAGCTGTTGAGTTTTCACGTGGCTCTTCAGCCAATTTCTAGTATCAGAAATGCCTCTAGAGAATGAAAATCAGCCATTTTATTACCCTCACTCCCGTAGCTCAGTGTGTCAAAGTCCTGGTTTGTGTGTGGCCAGCCGTGGGTGGCAGGAATCCCTGTGAAAGGGACATTTGTCTGGAAGCCCTGTCTCCTCTTCTGCTAGGGAACTGCTGCTCCATCTGGTGACCGTTGCTCCATCCTGTGGTCACTGGCCACACCTCTCTCCGTGGCCAGTGTCTTGCAACGTGTTCATGGGGTCCCAGTGAGAGAGCCGATGACATCGAGTTCTCATCCCTTCTATCAGCAGGACATCTCCTGCCGGGACCAGCTCCCGCATCCATTTGGTATTCGGTCCCTTACTTTGCCACAACCTCTGTTTTCCAGCCCCTCAACATTGCCTACAGCCACATCTACAGCTCCTACAGGAACTTCGTGGGGCCCCCGCACTTCAAGACCATCTGCAGACTCCTGGGCTACCAGGGCATCGCCGTGGTGATGGAGGAGCTGCTGAAGATCGTCAAGAGCTTGGTGAGGAAGGGCCTCGGTGTGCCCGGGTGGGGTTGATAGGAATGAGATTTGCTTTCACTTTCAGCCTGGCTTGTGAAGCCAAATCCCAGGCACTCCAGTTCTGCCTAGAGTGATCACACTGAGTCTTTTGTCCTTATCCTTTGGTTGTTGTTACCTATCGTTTTGTTCTGTTCATTTTCGTGCACGTTTTGACCTGTAGCTGCGCCTACCATTTTCCTACCCTGAACTAACCCTTGATTTGATGACTGAACTCAGCAATCCTTGTTTTGACCTTCAGAGCCTGCTATTGACTGCTCCTGCTCCTGGCTGTGCTGCAGTATCTAATGAGAACACGGCAAATCCATGACACACGTGCTACCATTGTCCGTGCCCATGGCAGACATCTCTAATCAATCACCACACTTCTTCCCCTTGAGATTTCTCGCCAAACACTGCTCCCAGTACTGCACTGGATTCAAGAGAATTCTGTATCTCTTTAGGACTGTATCCGTTTATCACCATTCTGAATCTGCCCCAAGTATGGTCATCTGAACCTTGCTTTGATTCCCTGAAACACTGCAAGCAAGGCCAAAACATTTAACCAAGATTTTCCTGAAAAATTGAGATGACAAAAGAGAAAGCAATATAGAACCAGCTCAGGAATAGCACACAGGATTCACCTGCTAACTCCAATTCCTTGGCAACAGCTATGAGGAGCCATGGGTTAAGGATAGTAAAGCTAAATCCAGAGTGAAACAAGAAAATGGGGTAATTGATTAAAGATGTCTGCCTTGGACAGAGAAAGGGATAAATGGGTCATTTATCTTCCAGGCTGAAATTAGGTAATGCCTCTTAATCTCTATGGTTCCCTGGCCCTATTTCATTTTAGCTCTTAGTGTGAATGTTGCATACGCATTCCCAAGCCCAGGAAGGACCCCATGCCTAGAAATGTGCCCTCCTGACGTCTGTAAGCCCAAGAGAGCTCGCTTTCCCTATTCTGTCTCATAAGCACTCATTGCCTCTTCTAAAGGACAGTCGGGCTGTCCCCCACCTTTAGGTAACAAGCTGCTCCCTCCTTACCCACAGATCACAGCAGAACCTCCGTACCCCCAACCCCATGGCCCAGCACTGGGCCCCAGGATGCACGCATGCAAGCAGTGGTTGATCTCACTCATCTGTTCTCTTCTTTTTGTCAGCTCCAAGGCACGATTCTCCAGTATGTGAAAACGCTGATAGAGGTCATGCCCAAGATTTGCCGCTTGCCCCGGCACGAGTATGGCTCCCCAGGTTGGTGATAGGAAAATTATCCAAAGCCATGCTATGGTGTTGGGGGGGGGCGAGGGGGCTCTGGCCATCCACCTTGGAGCGTTTGCTTCTCTAACATGCGGGCGAGCTGGAGGAGCACCGGCCGTCGCATCCTACCCTGCCACTAGCTAATCCCCCTGAGCCATGATGCGATCTCCAGCAGGCTGCTGGGAAGCTGGAGAGCCCAGCAAACATGAGAGCGCTTAAGTGGTGAATAGCAGGGTTTACTGGGAAAGGTCTTCACCAGCTCGGCACCTCCAGGAGCCCTCCCTCCGTTGTTGGCTCATTTGTAGGAGGCCGGGGCCCTGGGCGGTGGCCCCAAGTACATATCTAAGGTGAAACAGGCATCTTTGGCCAGGAAACAGGCATCTTTGCCATTCGACCTCTAGGCCGAGCAATAATTATTTTCTTTCCTAATAGTGAAAGGATTAAATATGGGGCCTGGGGAAGAGGGAAAGATGGAGACCATGGGCTTGGCAACAGGAATTTTTGTCCAAAAACCAAGATGTCAGGTGTGGGTCAGTATGTTTAACTCTTTCCACTCGCTTGCTTTTTTCTCAATTCCTTTATTCTACTCGGGATTTAATTTTTTAAATCCCCCAGATTTTACAAAGAGCGGCAGTAGAATAAAAAACTGGAGTTTCTTTTCATACAAACTTATTTATTTGGATTTTTTTCTATTTCAAATTATTGATACATTCAAAGAGTAATGTTAATCTCTATAATTTTTGCTAACCGTGTCGAGTCACACTCGACATCTGAGTACAAAGGGTTAAGAATAAGAAAGGGATGGAACCAAAAGCTCTGCTGAATTCCAGCTACCCTGCTTACTAGCTGTGTGACTCTGGGCATGCCACTTACCCTCTCTGAGCCTCATCTGAAAACAGGGGTAATAATGCCTAGTTCATGCTCCTGTTATGGATATTAAAAGAGATATTACTGACAAAATGCTTAGCACAGTATCTGACAACTATAAGTATTAATTCCTATCATTATTAGAAGTTCAGGCAACCTTTTAGAGGGATGGGGAAAGATCCAGGGCTGCTCCATTTGTGTGTGTTTTGTTCTGTTCTGAAAAAGGTTTGAGCCGGCTTCCCAAGCTTTTTCTGGTATTGAGCCCTGAAAGAAATCTTACCGCTGGGCCCGCGTGTATAGGGGCGTGCGGCTTGGATCTCAGCTATCCCAGAGCTTCGTGGTCAGCGTTTCCCATAAACCCGGCTAGGCAGTGTCAACTTCCTGCTGAGCGTCCCCCTTTATCTCCCAGGGATCCTGGAGTTCTTCCACCACCAGCTGAAGGACATCATTGAGTATGCAGAGCTCAAAACAGACGTGTTCCAGAGCCTGAGGGAAGTGGGCAATGCCATCCTGTTCTGCCTCCTCATAGAGCAAGCGCTGGTGAGTCCAGAGCAGTCAGGGTGGCTCCAGGTTAGAATGGAATCCCCACCCCCCAGCCAGACCCTGAGGCCTGTGGCCCTGCTGCATGGATCTGCGCTTTCCCAGTGCAGGCTCACATGCTGCTGCTTCAGACAGCTGTGACCATGGGACCCCTGGAAGGGGCACTGGCCCTGGATTCCAGTCCGGGCTCCCCCAGTCGCCAGCTGCACTTAGACCTCACTGCGGGCGTCTCGGTCTTAGTTCTCCATGCACTTGTTGAATAATTACTCCTTGGCTGCCACGGGCCGGGCACTATGCTGGGGGACGTGACAGTAGCCGGTCCCTGCCTCGCGTCCTGTATTTACGCAGAAATGCTGTGCCCGCCATCACAGCAAGAGCCGTGACGGATGAGTGCAGGGTCCCGTGGGAACGTGACACAGAGAACCTGACCTGGCCTCTTGGGGTCAAGTGGGGACTTCCCCGAGGTGGTGGCCTGGGGTGTGAGCAGGGATTGTCCTGGTGAGGCTGTTGCGAAGGCTGAGGGGAGAGTGTGCTGTGTTATCTTCATGCTTTATGATGGGAGATGGTGGCTTTTCCCTGCAGGGTAGTTTGAAGTCCAAAGAGAACGCGTGTAAAGCACATGCAGTAAGAACTGAGCAGTTGGTTGTGGTTGTCATAGTCCACACCCCGGGACCACGCAGAGCCAGCCCCTCCTCCGCGTGACCGTTGGGCTGTGTCCATCCCCAATGCACACCCGGGTGTCTCTGTTCTCCAATGGAGTGGCCTGGCGGGCCCAGTCCCATGGGTTTGGGGGTAACTGGTCCCACCTGGAGCAGCAGCAGGACACAGAGCAGACTGTCACTCTGGGGACGCAGTGGGACTCGCTTCAGGCACCCATCCCACCCTCCGTGTTGCCAGGCGCCGTTCTAGGTTGCGGATAAATGGCTGTGAATGAGAGAGACAAAGCGTTACCCGTTTTATTCTGGAGAGGGAGGCAAGTGGAGTTGCGCAGGTGGGGTGTGAGCCGTGAAGGAAGAGACTGGGTAATGGGATGGAGGGAGGGTGGCCCTGTCAGCGAGGGACGTGCTGTTTCTGGAGAGGAACGGAAAGAACTGCAGAGTGAGCTGGTGCGAAGGGGAGGGAGGTGGCAGGGCAGAGCTTCGCCGGCCACTGCAGGACGCCCTGGGAGCAGGATGACAAGGGGATCTATGACTATGGGCTGGTGAGAGGACCCACGGGAAAATGAGTAGAGAACATCTTTGGGGGCAGTAGGTACGTGGAGAATAGAGGGGAAGGGACAGGAAGGAGGTGGAACGGGAGAGAGATGAGAAGGCAGCAGTGACAGAAAGCGCTTCCCCCTCAGAGCCACAAGGGATTCTTTGCCTCTAATTGTGCGTCCTGGGGTGAGCCAGCTCACTCCACCCCTCAGTGTCCTCATCTCTAAACCGAGGGACGTGGACCAGCTGTGCTCTCGGACCCGTCCCTGCCTGAGAGGCTCTGAAATGGGGACTGTTTGCTCTTTCTCTGTGAGGAATAATTGCATCTCTGTTACCCCCCTTCAAATGGACTCTCGAGACAGCTAATTGTTCCCTTTATGATAACAGGTTTTTAACACGGTTCAGTGGGCCTGGGTTGCTATGGCAACTTAGCCTTCAAACGTCACAGGGATAAGTAGGAACAAGTGCTCATGGCTTCAGGGCCACCAGGAGATGGTGGGGAGGGGAGGTCCCTGAAGGCTCAGCTCCAGAGTGTGTTTCATAAGGAGCTGGAACTTCGAGCATCATTCAGCTTCCCCTGTGCGGACTGTGGGAGGCAGGCTGTTGACGAGGGCTGCAAGGAAAGGCAAAGCTTTTCTCAGTCACCCCTGTCTGAGTGGCCGCTTGCATATACGCAGAGAACTATAGGATGCTCAGGATCAAAGACCCTCAGAGCTGAGAGAGATCCCCTAGAACTGTGGTCCCCAACCCCTGGGCCATGAACCTCCATCCATGGAAAAGTTGTCTTCTATGAAACCGGTCCCTGAAGCCAAAAAGGTTGGGGACCGCTGCCCTAGAGCATGTATACTCCACCCCCTGTATTCACACGTGAGGAAATGGAGAGCCGGAGAGAAGAGCAGCTCACCTGAGGTCCCACACGGCACAGCAGCAGAGGTGGAGGAACTGAACGTAGGTTTCCAGTATTGATCCCAGTCCTTGCGGGCCACGGGAGGGCACCCAGAGCAGGATCAGGGATGGCCGAAGTGAGCTCTCCGCTCTCCATTCAGACGACCAGGGAGATGTCCAAGCTAAGACCGTGCTTTCTGAGATTAAAATAAGGCACAAAATTTATGGAGATTTTTTTTTAGTTTAGGAAACTGAAAATAAATATTTAAGTGACATACCAATTGGTCTTAATGAAACAGGAAAAGTAATGGCATAAAAAAGGAAAGAAAGGTACCTAATGGCCTTCCACAGAGGAAGGGCTATAAACCATGGAACATTTGTTCTTACGAAAGATTGGAGCAGTTAAATAGAACACAGTGATAAAGCAGCTTTGCATATAGCAACATAAAAAAAATGGTAAAAGACAGAATATTGAGCATACAAAAGCAAGTTACAGGCTAAGACACATATTAGGAAGCCATACATGTAAACAAATCAAAATAAAACCCACAAAATAACACCACATTGAAAAAAATCTAGGAAGAAAGTATGCCCAGCAGTTAACAGTCATTTTCTCTGTGTTAGAGAGGAAATCAGGATTAGAGGTCGAGAGGCCTTTAGCTTTAACTGGAATGTCTTCATTTTTCACAAGGAAAGTATATTTATGTATTATTATTGACCTCTGAGAAATAGTAGTATATGCTAGTTTTAGAAAAACTGACAAGTGCAAAGGGAAAAGTGAGAAGTCTTTTGTCCATTTTGTTTCTTTTTCTAATAGATGTACAGAGTTCTTTCTGGTCATGGGTTCCATAATCGGTACACGTGCTAAAATATCTTCTCTCTCTCAGTTTGCCTTATTAACAGAGAGATTGTTAATATATGAGTAGAGGGAATATAAATTCAAAAATGTGATCACTTGGACAAAAAGTATATTTTCTTCTCAGTATTAGTACAGAAACCCATGTACCTGTGGGGTCATTTTTCTGGGTTTTTTTTTTTTGGGGGGGGGATGTTCTGGTGGTTTTAATTAAAATATATGTGCAGCCGAATGCATAAAAATCCCAAGTGTATGGCTTGATAAAATTAGACACCCATGTAACCCTCCCCCAAGTCTAGATATAGAACATGTACAGTGTCTAGGTGGTTCTCTTCTACCCCTTCCAGTCAGTGTTCCGAAAGGAACCATGGACCCAACTTCTATTCTCAGAGATTAGTTTTGCTTGTCCTTGAACTTCATATGAGTGGATTTATCCAGTATGTTTTCCCTTCCCTGTCTGAGCTCTAGTCATCCAACACTATGTCTGTGAGATTTGTCCGTGTTATGGCGTAGCATTCTCGGTGCATAAATAGACTAATTGAATCATCCTTTTTACTGTGAGTGGACATTGGCTGGTTCTCAGTTTGATACTATTATGAATAAAAATGTCATGAATACACATGTCTTTTGGTGGACATGTCTCATTTTTATTAGGTAAGAATAGCTTACCTAACATGCTAGACCTAGTGGTTTAGCTTCAGTAGGTTTACAAGCAGTTTTACAAATTGTGCCCATTTACACTCTCATTTGGCAATGGATGGGAGTTTTAATTTTTCATACCCTCATGAACAGTTGAATTTGTCCATCTTTATAATCATAGCAATTCTGGCGGATTACGGTTTTGATTTCCCTAACGATGCTGAGCCCTTTTCCATGTATTACTGGCCATTTATTCGTCTTTTTTAGTGAAGTATAGTTCACATTTTTGCCTGTTTCTTAAATTGTATTTTTCTCACTGATTTTAGGCATTACATATTATGGATACATATATTACAAATATATTACTGTGGTTTATCCTTTGATGAGAAGTTCTTAAGGTTTAGTGTAGTTACCATTTATGATGGGTGCTCTTGGACTTTTTTTTTTTTTAGAAAATCTACAGTTCTGAAGATAGGAGTAGTCATGAAGATATGTTATTTTCTAGAAGTTTTAGAGTTTAGCCTCTCAAGGTTAAACAGCGCTTCACGTCTATTACTCACGTGGAATTGATGGTTGTGTCTGTTTAATGGGGTGTAGAAATCCAATCTCACTTCTTTCCAAATTATCCCAGCACTGCTTCTTGAAAAAGACATAGCGCTGCCATGACAGATCAGGGCAAGGAGGTCTGTTGTCAGTCAAGCATCTGCTGGTGGTCTGATCCTAGTGGGCTCTTAATAAATATTTGTTGAATCTAATCTGAAATGAATCAGCACTTGTTAAGTATCTATATATGTGTGTGTCTTTTACATTTTGGAAGGAAATTCTGTTATTAATATCTAGTGTTTCCTCTAGTGTCTCCTACCCTGGGAAGTCATAAGGTGATCATTAGGAAAATGGGAATCGCCAAGTGTTTGTTCAAATTTTGTATGGTTTTCTAGACCTCAGGCCATACCCTGTTGGTTATGCCAGCACACACCAGGAGAGGGCCCTGTTCACACGTGTGAGCCAGGGAGGGTGACAGCCGTTCTGCCTGCCTGTTACTTACTGCGGGGCCTCCCTGCCAGGACTGGAGAGTGTTCTCTGCCTTTGTCCCTATTGTTTATTTCTTCTCTCCTCCTCACAGTGGAGCAGGCCACAGTAACACTCCAGTCATCTGAGAGCATCCCGGATTCTAAGGCTGGTCAGATCTGGGAAAGCCCTCAGACCACATCGGGCCAGTTTCCCAACCTTGGGGCCAGAAAAACATTGGTTGTAGGGGGTTGTTCTGTGTCTTGTAGGATGTGGAGCAGTGTCCCTGGACTATGTGCCAGTAGCATCCTCTGCAGTTGTAACAACCACAAATGTCTCCAGATAGTACCTACTGTTCCTTTGGAGGATAAAACCTCCCCATGTTGAGAACCTCTGATCTAGGTTAACCCCACATT